TAATATGTGTTTGCCGGATTGATGGCGCAGCGTCCGTCCCAAACACAAAGACAGTTCCTTGTGTTGCTCAATTACGCGTTTCGGCCACCATCCATCCGTCAATTAATTGCGTTTGCTATTTCGGTTGAGCTTTATTGACCGGCTCGAGGCGAGACACGCGTGGATTTATATTGATCGTTGAACTGGCGAGCGATTCGTCTCATATTTTTGGGTTTGTGTGCACTTTTTGCGTGGAATAAAATTACGAAACAATTCTTATTAATTGTGAAGTGAAGAGGTTGAAAATTGATTAATCTAGAAATTTTAAACCGATTAAAGGATTAAGCTGCGGCGTAGAAAATTTCGAAAACGCATTCGACGATTTGAAAAACCATATTGTGCGAAGTAGAGACATTTTCGTTGAAAAAATAAGGATCTTGGATCTTTCGAAAATGTCCGATTTTAAAGTTTCAAAAGTGTCAACTTATTTCAAGCATTAAGCTTGTGTTACAACATTAATATCAAGTACACAACTTTGTTTTTGACGAAAAATTGTGTCAATTATTAGTAGAGAAAAAAGATTTTATTAAAATTTCTTAAGATTACTTATTGTTGGGTTTTAATAGTTCCCAATAATTTTTGTTTTACATTACATTCAATTTCCTATGTCATTCTACAAAACTTTTTGCTTTTCCGTTTCCTGTCTACGACTGAAACATTCTTGAAAAAAATAAATTAAATGATGGTGAATGTTTATATTTTATTGTTTTAAAGAAATGAGCCGCCGGGAAAACCTCATTCACCTCAACAGCTTCTACTGTTTGTGTAGAAAATATTGTCAGAATTGACAGGAATGGGGCGTGTTTAAGCAAATTTCAGTGAAATCTGAATTGATGTGGGGGAGAACATTTAAAAAATAAGAAAATTCAGCAGTGCATTCGTAGCCGATAACAAAAATGGAAATGATCATTTGATAAGCAATAAATCTTTCGACTTTACTCATATTCCCAAAAATATCTGTAAAATTCATAATTTAAAGTGGCGAAATTGCAAAACAACTATTCACTTGTCAACTATTCTTTAAATACCTAACCATGACGAAAAAAAAAAAACAAAACGATTAGGCGTCAAAATCGGTAATGTCAATACTAGGGAATCTATGGTTTTTGGGGAAAATGCGCATAACAATGAAATCTAGGTTAGCGAAACACCACTAAAAAAACCATCTACCTGCACGTCTTTGATGGGTTCAAGGAAACGAATCGGAATGGTTTCAGGATGAATCGTTGCGCTTGGCAATTAAGAACGTCGTTGTGGAACCATACCTAACTCATTTTCCAGAAATGAGGAGAAAATTGAGGAAGGAAAAAAATGTCGGCGGTGGTGGGGGGTGGGGACAATGAATGCCTAGTAAGTAGTGTTTGGCAACAACAAATGATCTGACAGATGGCTCAAATGCGGATTATACGTGAGGAACGTTACTAACTACGGTACATGGTGAACAGATGCGCAAATGAAGAAGACCAACACGGAATTGTGTGGTGAAAGTTTGGAAAAGTAACAAACGCGATTATTAATTAAATTGCGCAAAATGCGGAGGTTACCAAGAATTGACGATATGTAGAATTTGGTGGCTTCAGAGAACAGCAACAAGAATAATAATAATAATAAACAAAGGCGACTAGGCGTTTCTGTTTGCTAAACCAGCTTAATTAGTTAGTTATCTAGCAATAAAAGAAATGATCACCAAAGCATTGACTTCATGAGAATCAAAATTATTTTTTTAAAATAAAGCTATAATTTAATAAAGCTTGCAAATAATATTGGAGTTGGGTTTCGAGCGAAATTATCCCTATGCAACGTTGCCTTTCAGACTATAAATATATAATAAATAAATCTGCATAATGGTTTTATACAAAACGCTACCTAATATGTGCATAGCGCCACAGAGGGAGGGAATAATAATGCGATTTATCATGTAATATGTCAAAGTAATTTTCGGACATTTGATAAAAATGTTATTTCGAAATCATTTTCAATGTGTAAAAAAATTCCTGTTAATTAAAAATGTCCGAATGAAAAGTTGCCTACCAATTATATCATTATTTAAATGTTTGACCTGACTCAAATTGGTACTTGAGATGAGAAAAATCATGAAAACGAATCATAGTAGCTTTTTCTGGCTAATATTGGCGTTCGGCAAATAATTTTTGAGCGCTCGAAAATGGCAAACATGCATGAAGTTGAAATAAAAGAAAAAAAAATTCGACGTGAGTGTTTGTTTGAATACAGAAAGCAAACGCCATTCAAATACCATTCGACAAACCTCATTTTGCTTCAAAAATGGGAGGCTCTGTGCAAACGTCAATCCAACAAACACACTTTATACGCCACCACATGGCGCAAGATGATCACCAAAATGCAACAGAAGGTGCGGGCATGAAGGGGGGGGGGATAGGGGTTTAGTCTTTTTTGCTTCGTTTTCAAGGGGAAGCGGCAATGATATATTCATACATACATATGTGCAAATAAATTGATGGTTGCTTATGTGCCAAGCCAAGGTTACAAGATTTTGTCGTTTGAAACAAAAACGGGCAGGCAACAAGGAGCAATTATCGGGTGCGGTGTTTCGAAAAGGGTTCACTTCTAACGGGTGCACTAGTAACAATGGTCATGAAAATGCAGTTGAATTGGTTAGTGGCAGATGATGAATGAACGAAGATAGCCATCCAGATGTCCGTGTTCAGATAACCAATTAGATTATATAATGATTTGTTTGTTCAAATTTAAACTTATATTTCTTTCTTACGAATGTTATCATAAGCTATAAAATTCAAATGTGTAAAAATATTTCTACATTGGCACACTCCATATTACTATATATAATTAAATTGGAGCGCTAAAAATTAAATTGGCGTTTGGCTGAATACGACAATTCATTCCTTAAATGACTCGACAATTCGGTGATCAAAACGTGACCCCGCCCGCCTTCAAAAGAAACGGAAGCCCAAAATAGACGGGTGTAATTTACCGCGAAACGATGGAACAGAAAAATCGAAATTACCGACCCCCCCCCCCACAAGACCACTATTATCTAGACCCATTCTTCTGATTACATTTCGGTAAAAGAGCGTATCAAACGAAATGATTCAGAAATGGAACCGCCAAACGAATAAACCATAAATTACCGCGAGCGTGTAGTTTAACTGGCAATAGAAACCCGTCCCAATGAAAGTATCCCGTCACATTGAAGCCCTTTCAAGGCCTTACGGCGACCCCGAGAGCAGGTGCATCGCGGAGAGGAGACAACAGCAATTCGAACCCCGCCCGAATTGTCGAGAAATAAGGATATTGAGTTTTGAAGGACGTTCGAAACCCAAGGCGACGAAACAATTTATTGTGCGGGCTTTGATTGGGTTTGTAAATAACGCTCAGGTGCCGTTACTCGTCGAAGAAGGTAGAAACAACAATAAAAAAGGGATTCGGTAGGGAACCCCACCCTTAAAACCGAGACGCTCGTTAAAAATCATCAAAAGATGATAGCGACTAGCAACGTACACCAATCACAAATTTCAAAAGACTCAATCTGAAGGTCAGGAATACACAAAATGATCCCACTTGTAAGTATTTTTTTTTGCTTGTAGTATTATAAGATCACTTTAATAAATGTTGACCTAGTGTGTCCGAACTATTACAAAAAATATCTAAGCAAACACGGATATAACAAGAAACGCTTCGAATCAATTCATCAAGTGAAAAAAAAAGAGAAACGACTGATAGTATCCGAGAAAGAACATGAAAGAGTAAGTGAGATGATGACCAGGCTATCAAATCCCGAGATAAATCTCGGCGATAAGCCGACTTAAACGCCCATTCGCATTTGGAAAAGCTTCGGAAAAAACTATTAGATACTATAACTGTATATAGAAATGTCAATATTTGATAATCATAATAATTATATACATCTGCGATTGTGCAATTTTCAAATTGAATGGACCAATCGAATTCAGCAAAAGTGGTTGTATAACTGAATGATCGCTTTGTTGATATGTATGTATGTACTTGAAATTTTGGTGCGATACTAACACAGCTATCCGGATTCTGAATCATTTTCACACTCACAAGCGCTTCTTCAAACAATACGTAAAACCGCGCTATTTGTTTGAGTTTGAAATCGATGGATAAAGATTTAATAATTGAGAGGAAAAATCTATTGTAAAAAAGCAAAAAAGGTGAATACTTAATGAAGGACTGTACGAATAACATTATACACTGAATGCCGTCCGTACACGGTTTCACTTTTTCTCTAATTTCACGCATCGGTACACTTTGGCAGATATTCAGCTGTTAAGGAAATCAATGAAACGAAGAGTCTTATGACACATAGTGGTTATACTAAAACAATCAATAATAGGGGCAATCATTTTCGGCAACTATCTGACTCATTGCCGTTGCTGAATAAACACGAATTTGTGGTGGAATTCCAATGGGAATAGTATGTCTGTGTTTTTAAAATTGCCACCAAACAATAAGCTCAATCAATTAAAACCATACATAAAAGAAATTTTTGAGAATATTTTTGAAAAACAGAAATATTGCACTGAAACATGATTTTTATTTTATAAGAATCATGGATAAGAACCACACCTTAAGATTATATCTTTGCACTGTCCACATAAAGAAATGCGAATTTTCTCTTAAATTTATATCCAAAATTTTCTTATAAGGTAAAAAAGCGTGTTCTCAAGTTTTCCGTCTCCCAACAAATGGTAGATATTCTTGCTATTGAGTATTCATTTTCTTCTTTTCGGTGTACACTAATAAAATACTTCATCAATTTGCGTTTATTTACGCCTGCGCATTCATCATTGCGGCCAGGCTTTGTCTAGACAACCCACTCAAAACAGAAACAACAGACTCCCAAAAAGATGCACACAGCGTTGATGATTAACATCTATTGTTTCCAGTGTGTGTGTGTTTTTTTTTCTGACAAATGCTCAATGATGCACAATAAAATGAAACTAACCGTGACGATTAAGGTGTTGCAGTGTCGGCACGTGCTTAGTTGGACGGCGCCGAATTGGTGGCAGACGCGGGCTGAAGTTGTGCTCATTGAGATGATCACAACTTCGGCTTAGTCTTTTTCGAATATTGGGCGCCGCATCCTGTTCTCGACGGATTTGACGGCGTGTGCCGGTTAAAGCTTGCGAGCTCCGCGATGGGCTGTCGAATGGATCGTAGAGGCTTTCTCGAGACAAGTATCTAACAAAACCATATGAAATAAGGTAAACGTGAACTTTGATAGAAGTTAGAAATCGTTTAAACAAAGAGCAAATCTATGGAATTGAAGGGAAATGGGATTTCAACAAATCGTTTAAATGGCGTGTACAAAACTAGTAGGTTATGGTGAACGGATAATTGACATGATTACGGTATGCTCACCTCTCAAGAAGAGCCATGTCGCCAGTGTCACAGCGATGGAGCTTCCTATTATGGTAGCCGACTTTTCTGTTTGGTGGCAGCGGCGACGAGGCACAAGACAATGGGCGGTTATGATTTAACTCGGCATCTTTGAATGACACACGTTTTTCTTGTCGAGGCACTGTCTCGCCGAGCGAAACAAAAAGCTGCGGCGGCGAATGCATGGTGTTGCGGCTCGACGGTCGTTGCGTCGATACCGTATTGCTGCGCTTCATCACGTTTGGAAGATTGCTGATGTGCAAAAATAATGGATGGCGTGAGCTCGCCGCCGTCGCCAGATCCTTCTGGCTGCCGTGCACACGCTGCATTATTGGCGAGGTGGCAAATCGGCGGTCCGCCGTAATCGGCGCTTTCAATGATTGTGACGGCGTTGTGGCGAGCGACGTCTGAATCGACGACTTAAACCTGGGCGATTAGCAGCGATCAGTTTGACCGAAATCGGCAGACTTCAATTGGAACGCCCGATGGCAGCAAAGTAGGCGCGACCAAGTCTTCTTATCTTGGCGTCTATAACTCGTCCTATCACAAATTGTCTCCTCTTCCTTTCTTTTAGAGATGCTTGATCCGTCTTTCCTTTTTTTTCCTTCCTCTTTAGTATTCCGCGCACGTTGGCGGTGTTGTACAAGCAGAGACGAAGAACAGATAAATGTGATGGTTTTAATGCGAGCAATAATCGCTTCTGGAATATAATAAATTGACGATGCATGATGATGATGATGATTAATGTGCGAACGTTCATATCAATCATAATGAAAATTTAAGTTGGTCAGAGGCCTGGTAAAACACAATACAAAATAAATAAATGGTAAACAAATAAAACTTCGCAATATTGACAGCTCAATCTACTTGGTCAATAGTACTGATCTGAGCTACTACGAAAAAAACGTTGAAGCCTTTTTTTTTTCTTCAAAAGAAAATGAAAGAAAAACGAGGGATGAATTCTTTGGAATGAATCAGAATGGTTGACGCCTTTGAACTAAGAAAGCAAGTATTGATTCAACTAACTATACATTCCCAGTTTGGGATTATATGCAAATATACAAATGTTAAACCATTGTTCATACCCAGCAGGTTTCAAAAAAAAAAACAAATAAAAACGCCATGTCAAAAGTCGAATTATTGGCAACTAATGGATGTGGAAAACTTGATTTTTTTATGATCACGTATTGATTTAGTTTCGCGTTGTTGTATTTTTGGGTATCAAAAAGAAGGTAGTGTATTTTCCGGAATCAGAGTGCATTAGAGAAAAAGACATGACATCGTTAATTACTGTGTCGCTACAATCAAATTTCATTTAGCAACACTAATTAGAATGCGGGGAAACAAGGAAACGTGACTATTTTAGGTTGGATGAATACAACATTTCGGCGAATTGTTTGAAATATATATATATAATCTATCAGTATGTACAGAAATTGATAGAAAAACTAGGATTTGAATGATGGGTTTGTTTTTGTTCTTGTACTGTTTCGAATGAGAAAAACCGAAATAAGGAACATCGAACGAATTCAAGGATTTTCGTGATTTCTCAAAACAACCTGGAAACTAACGAAATTCCATATAAGCTGTAGTTGATATTTAAATGGAAACAAGTTAATACAATAAGTTATTCGATATTTTTGAGGAATTGATTCGCATTCGGTGTAGGCAAAAAAAGGCCAGCTATACAAAAAAAAAACACGAAGCTACAACAAATCTCGTAGGAGGATCGCGACAAAAAAAATTGGTGTGCTCGTTCTGAGAGCCTTGCAAGAAATTTCTTGGAATAGACAACCGAGTTTTGAGAGACGAAGCAATGTCAATGAGCGAAAAGAACTAGCGCGCGACAGACAACACCTTGAAGTATGTTCAACAGTCAGAGAGAAGAACATTTGAGAACAATCGCCAAAAAAAGATTGAGGAGCTCGCCACTGGGCCCGGTATAAATCACTAGTGAAAACACGAGCACCATTCAAGGAAAAAAACACACCAAAAACAATATATCGCTGAAATAAGCAGCCGTAAATGCACAACAATAGGTAAGAAAAAAAACGCGACCCCCCCCTCCGATAAGCTCACTCTCGTGCTCCTAAAAAAATCGGTCAAGATCATTCAGAAATTGCACTGGGGTTTGTAGTTCAGATTAGGTATTTTATGATCGACACACTCGACTTCCAATTATTTTTTCGACTAGTGAGAAGCTAAATTACACGTTTGGAATCGTATTGTTTGCGTAGGCCGTGGAAAATAAACTAGATATCCTCATCGGTTACAAAATACAGCCAACCTGTAAAAATGAAAAATGTAAACTAACTAAGATATTCTGGAGGAATCGTTCGAACAGTGGCGAATTTCGACGGCAGTCTGGAGATTGAGAAGAACCGATCAGACAAGGGCTTGTGTTTATAGCCAGGACGTATGTACGATCTTGCAATTGTATGAGCACCAGTGCTAGGTGATGCTAGACGTGGCCGTGTAACGTATCCTGAAAGTGAAGCCCCATATTTATAGATGTTCGATTGGTATATGTACCCCAATGGTTCGCAAACGCTGCTCGCCCGCCATCCATTCTCAAAGTATTGTTCCTTTGGACAATTGGCCGATTCTAAAATTACGCAAGTTGGTTTGGAATTATTCTGTGTACTTTGCCGAAACTCGACATATTATTTGTTTGTTTACAAATGTCACAAGAACCGTGACATTTGAGCAAAGTGTGAAACAGTAAAAAAGGTTTGTCTACAGTTTTGGGACATCCGACATTGAATTCAAATTCGTAAATCACCTTATATGGACATGTACCGATTTCGTATTCGTGAGTACATATACGACATTTTTTGATTATCTATATGTTTCATATACGTAAACTAAATTAAGCGTATCATATTGCTGATCGAAAAACAAGGTTCATATGATGTTATACATAAATAACTTCCAAACATTCCTCAACAATCAATCATAAATAGTGTGATGCTGAACATGATCTTATCTCATAAGCATATTACACTGCTAGTCAAGCTGTTCCAAAAATTTTGTTTTGAAGATTATAAATAGTCCAATTGTAATGATCACAATTTTTCGGCAAAGATAAAATGAATTGAAGAAATTCTAATAAAGATTCTTATTTATATTGAAAAAAAAAACAATTGGTTTTTTGGTACGTAATACTTATATTCCAAAGATTCGAAAATAATTATGAGAGAGATAAACTAACGGTAAATTGTACAGGTTCTTGACGATAACAACATATCGTATTTTGAGATGGATCGTAAATGCAATAGCCGGCGTGCCACGGGAATTTGACTTCTCGATTGATCATTCGAGTCGGAGTACCCTCTGCAATGAAAAAAAAATATGGCTCAATTTTTTTTCTAATAGATTGTGACGGAGCTGGGTAAACTTGAACGAAGGAAACTGAGTGGGCATTATTAAATGATTTCTCGGGAGGAGGCCGAAAAAAACTTGAGTGGATTTAACAATTAGCCCATTGAATTGACTTTGGACCAAGTTTCAAGGTTGAATGGACAATTGAAACGACTTGTGAAGACGAAATAAATCAAAAATGAAAGAGTTAATAAAATACCTCGTTTCAATTAGGTATTATAAATATTTTGAGTTGGTGAGAAGAAAAGGAAAAAATGTTCGAACAACCAAATTTTCAGTTTGCTAAATGAAAGCAGGAAGCCAATTAGAAATCTACTGAGAACTTTTTAAAGGGAGTGGTTAGTCGATTTTTGAAACGGTCGGCATTTTTCTTTGTACTAACATAGATAAAGTTCTTTTTTAGAAGCAGAAACTTAAAAAAATAAAGCAACGGGTTCAAGTCAGTAGTTCAAACGTCAGACGCAATCGTACATATGAACGATAGGTGCTAAATCAAACAAATATATCCAACGAAACCGCGTATGCTTTACGTCGACACTCATTATTATTATTATTATTCTCGATGGAACGAATAAATAAAAAGTTGAGATCTCAGCAATAAAGATAGACAGGAGCACCGCGTGAAGTGAAACTTCGATAAAATGTCAAATCGGGTAAATATAGCGAGTGTTGGGTGCAAAATTAGACGCCACGTGAACTATATCCATCTTGCCTCCGTACAAATAATACAAATAAATAATGTCTGAAAATAAATGTGGTGTGACTACCACATGGTTTTTTTTTAAAAGCAAAACGTGTTTCTTTTCCCCCGTGGCTTATGAATAAACTCATAACCTTGTTGGATAATGGCATCTGCTGAATGTTGCCAAGAAACTTGTATATATATAAAATTAGGTCGTTAGGAAACAATAGAATGCTATCATATGAATGAATGAATATTACAAAAAAAGACGCATTTCGAGATGCAGATTTTTGACGTACCGCAAACGATCAACCATCCGTGACAAATCGGCAATGAGTCGCGACTTTCAGACCGGTGTTCGATCAAGGAATCAACAGCTACTTGTCCCCCAATTGCTTTCATTTCATTGCTTCTGAAAGTGGAAGTTGGTTTGTTTGCAAACTGATAGAATATTTTATGAAGCGTATTAAATGACACGGAATTTCAGCGAAGAAAAGTTTGAAGGCGAGCTGCTTTCAGATCAAAAAAATTATAGTCGAAGAAGTAAATGACATCGAAATACAAATATGGTGTACAATATGAGATATTTTCAATAACATGTAATGCAATACAATAATAAAGAGGTTGTGCAATACAATAATAAAGATTTCCATGAATTATTTCTTTTATTGACAACAATTTTCAAATAAATGAATAACAATGAGAAATGTCTAGCACATTTCGAATATGAAAATTTATAAAGCTTCACAAATGACCTCAACAAAACTTAATTCCCGTTTTGTCTCTCGTCAATCAACGAAAAAAGTTCAGTTCATTCGAAGATTATAATCTATTACAAGAATCGCGCTAATTTGCGAATACCAGATACGATTGGCTTCGATGATGCATTCATAATAAATCAATTACAATCCATTATGAATAATGTATTGTTTTTGGTCACATTTTTTTCGATTTTGTGACAGCGACATTTTACTGAAAAAAAAATCCATTAAATTCTTATTAGTTTCTGGGTGTGGTTCTCTTCAAGATTTAACTGAGTGATAACACTAATCATTCAAAATAGTTAAAAGATACCGATATAAAAAAAACCAATAAATACTATAAAAATTCTTGTATATTACCCAAAATGACATAAACTAGTTTATCTGATTTAATGTTTGATGATCGAAAAGGGACTTTTAAAGAAGAAATATCAAAAGTGTGTTTGTTAACATTATTATTAAATATCACTTTTAAAATGAAATTTCGATGTTTTCAGAAAATGTGTGAATATTGAGTTTTTCTAGAAAACCTCAAAAAGGACATTTCGATATTGATATTTTATGGTAGAAAAAAATTGGCAATTATTTCTCTTTCCGAATGTATTATCAAAATGAGTGCATTAAAATGCAAATAAGACATTTGTGTTTTGTTGGATTTGTAAATCTGAAAAGAACTGCCTAAATTCCAAAAAAAATATATATATGAGAAATCTTGAGGCGGTTTAAAGCTAACCTTATGTTCTGCTTGTAATTGAACATATTAAGTTTTGCGAAAAGACCTTCCTGCTAGAATTTTTGGAATTAATTCAACTTTTTGTGCGACCCCAACAATATAAATTTTAGTTTTTCATAATTCCATTAAAAACGTTTTCAAATTTGAAAATCGTGTTATAATATTCAACATATAAAACTTTGCCAAAGACCAGGGGTAGTTTTGTAAATGTTTAATATTTATAATTTTTGAAACAAAATAAAATTCGTGACAGGGCGAACACTAGCGAATGCAAACTTAAAGAAAACAAAACTTATGGGAAAGTTGGAAAATAAACTGAAATGGTCAATCAAGCGTGAGGAATGCCGCAAATATGATTCATTGTTAAACGTAATAGTTTTACGATTGATGTTATGATTTGTATTGTACGACTGTGTGCATAACGAGCGGCAACATCTGAAGCTCAAAATGAATTACGCGTCTTTCTGGGAAAATTGAAGGCAGAATGATACCGTTACAAATATGAATAAGAGTAATCAAAAATGTAAAAGAATGTAACATAATGTCGGCTTCGCAAAACGATGGTTTCAATTTTTTTTACGAAATTTTTTATACTCTTGTCTATTAATTTCTTTAAAATTTTTATGACTTAAAAAATTGTTTCACATGTCTTAATTAATAGAAAATAGTCAAAAATAATGCAGCAAAAAAATTTACACGAAACCGGTAGGAGATGAAAATAATAGGCACACGCAATAGATAAAAAGAGAAGTGCCAAGTGGCGAGGCACATAAAATCTTTTTTTTCCAATTTTCCATTCGCTCAGTACCAAAACCAATTCCCAACCTGCCTAATGTGAGAATGAACAAATTTCGAAAATTCCTACCTCAAAAAACTCAAAAACATTTTCCCTAGGAAATTTTTGTCTGAAAAATTTCCAGGATTATCGAGCGAATTCAAAGTTTAGAAAAAGCGATGGAGTTTTATTTTTCACAAATATTGAGCATTAAATGAATTCTTAACTTTTGCTGTAATTTTTGTTTGAGGTTTAATTTGATGGGATAATAGAAACATTTATATTATAGTTATAGCAAATGTCAACTTTTACATTAGTGTACGAACAAAAACGTTCTAAATTATATGTGATTTATGGAGAAAAATCGAACCACCTGAAAAACTGGAACATGTAGGGTAAAATGAGGAATGCGTCAATTCGAATAGTAACCCAAAAAAGACATTACTGTCATATGAATTATTAGTTGAATTTCGGGCCGCGTCGTCGCCGATCGTCACACATTAAATTTCTATAGTTTTACGTGTGGCGTCCAGATGAAAGTTAGTTTTGACCAATTATCCAGAACACCATTACTCGTTCCATCGCTAAATGAGTTACTCGTGTATGAATGCATGGCCGGCATACCATGAAATGTAGAATTTACCAACAAAAATATAAAAACGCGTCAATGTGTTGAATGAAAACAAGAAATACATCGTTAAGACATTCGCAACGATTTATGATCTGCGAAGAAGTCGTCGAAAATTCATCGGAATCCAAAAAGCAAACAATTTATTCAAATACACAGATTACGAAGAGTCTGTTCACATGCATTGTAATCTAACCATTGTTTATTCAAAAATTTTACCAAATCAATTTTATATGATTGTTTGGGAAATATTCTCAAACTGTTGAGTTTTATAAACTTCTCAATGTGGAATTGCAAATGAAGATTTTTTTATTAGTAAAATGAACGTAAATATTTGTAAAATGAACGTATTAGTAAAACGAACGTTTGTTTTGAGGTCACACCGAATGTTTTGTAGTATTTTTAGTCAATATTCATTTTCACGCCTACCATTGTTGCAGTAACAAACCGGCATCGCAAAAAATACCTGAACTGGTCCATTGACATCTTCGAGCACCAAACGAAAAGCCGACAAAAGTGTACAAGTGGACAAAAGGCGGCGCAATTGTCGCTTGAATAATATGTGTTGAGTTGGTTTATAAACAATGAATGCGAGTTGTATTACACCCTATTGAGAATATAATAATACGATGCAATGTAGATTGCAAAATATAGCTAATATGTATATTTTACGGAAAAGGATCCAATTCATTAATTATCATTTTTTGATTCTCTATTATATAGTTTAGCAAACTCTTAAGCAGTTTCTAATATTATCATTCCGTTTTAATTGCAAACCTAAATTAATTTACATTACAGGGTGTCATTTAAGTTCCCGCACAAAAGTTTGACGCCATGAAGAGCTTGGCTGTTGCACTTTTCGTGCACCAATACAACTTATTTTTGTTAAATAAGGTATATTTTACTTACTTTCCAAGTTTCACCTCATTCGGATGTGTTTCCGAGAAATGGCAAAGGCTAACATCCATCGCGCTTCCATTATCGAACTTCATAAGCAAAATGTGAGCCCGAGAGACATCATTGAACGCCTCGCTGTGCCTCGTAGAACGGTTTGCGACACCATCAAACGTTTCAAGGAGCTAAATACGACCAGTGACCGTCCCAGACAAGGAAGACTCGTCTCAGTAACCACTCCTCAGAAGATCAACGCCGTTAAATCGAGGATCAGGCGAAACCCACACAGGAGCATGAGAAAGATGGCGTCAGACATGGGAATGAGCGTCTTCGCTATGGAACAAATTGTCAAAACGAAGCTTGTACTGACCCCATATCGTGTCTAAAAAGCGGAAATTCTATCGGCCGTCAACAAGCAGAGACGCTTCGAAAAAGCAAAACGACTTCTTGCTCGCACGCGGTCTGGAAAACACCTCGTCACTGTCTTCTCCGACGAGAAGCTGTTCACTGTGGAGGCGGCATTCAACTCACAAAACTATTGAGTACTTGCCCAGACATCCCAGCAAGCTTCTGAGAAAGGAAGAACAATTCATCCAGCCTCACATCCTGCCAGTGTGATGGTTTTCGATGCCATCTGCTCAACCGGGAAGTGCCCCCGGGTTTTCGTGGATCAGGGGGGTGAAAGTGAACAAAGAAGTCTACGTTCGGGACATTTTGGAGAGGCATGTGATGCCCTGGACCCAAACGCATTTCGGTGGGCAGAAATGGGTCTTTCAGCGGGACGGAGCACTCGCCCACACTGCCAAAACTACTGAGGAGTGGTGCCAGACCCATTTTCCCGACTTCATCAAGTCATCCGAATAGCCTGATTGCTCCCCAGACCTGAACCCGCTTGACTTTTCCGTGATGGGGTCTTGCAGGAGAAGGTCAACGCAAAACCCCACTAAAATGTAAAGACTCTGAAGAAGACATTACTGGCGGAATGGGACAATCTTTCCATCGAATACCTGCGTACCACAGTCGAATCCTACCCAAAGCGTCTTCGTGAAGTCATAGCTGCGAAAGGAGGCCGAATCGAAAAGAGTTAATAGATAAATATTTGTTATACTATAGATAAAAAATATTTCGAGTCTCGTTTGATTTGGACTTTTAGTTTCAGAAATATACGTCTTCAAATTGTGCGGGAACTTAAATGACACCCTGTAGTATATTAGAACTATTAATAGTGTTCAACGGTTTTTCAATCTTGATTATTAACGTTCTTTGATTTAGTCACGGTCAAAAAGAGATTCCATAGGGTGTAGAAAAGATGAGGATATTATTCAGGGTATAAATAAATGTTTTTTAATCCCTTTTGTAGGATATCGATTAATGTAAGAATTTCAAAATAATTGCATATCAGAGTCGAAAAAGTGGAACAGTACCTAAACGTTTAACAAATCGGTGTTATTTTTCAAAGGATCGTTTTTTTATCTGAGTATGCGAAGATCAATTCTGTTTTGTGGAAACATCATCTGTTCGACTTTTCAGTTAGAGATTTCTTTTTTTTAGCAGAAGATGGTTCAGCTGGAAATCTCGTTCTCAGCTGTGAATTAAAGCTTTACATACTCTGTCACTAACTATATACTCTGTCCGATCGCTGACAGCGTCAAATATCTCTTCCAGTAAGTGTCTTCGTTCAATGTGCTGATCTGCGATGAATTTTAATTATATTGAAAAAAACTTGTCAGTGGTCTGACAATTGTTCATAGTTGCATTATTTCTCTTTCAAAATCATGCGAAAAAATTACATTTTTGTTGTGTCGCATTTTAAATAAAACGTAAACCAATGTGTAAATTTTTAAAATCATTTTGATGTTAAAGAAACCACAAATTCTCTTAATAATATTCAATGATAATTTTTGACGTCTTTTTTTATTATTAGATCCTTTAAAGTCTATAGGAAATGACATCCTTTTTCATAGGAAAGTATTCTCAAAGGTCTTAATTTTTGTGTGTTGTAGTCTCATGAAGAAACTGTTGAAATGAGAATGAAAAACGTTGTATTGCCTACAATCGCAAATTGTGTTTTTGGAGTGCTATTTCGTTTCATTGAATGCAATGGAGTGATTGTATCTTGTATCATGATGTTTCGCGTAATTATCACTCCCACCCACTACAGTGTATCCTTTTCCATGTAGTACTGTGTCACACTAAGTATTTAATATCGCTCATTTATTTCAACAGTCACCACGTGTTCCCTAAATCACAATTTTTTACATTTTCTTATTCCAACACGCGCCAAATTTTATATTTCAGAATGGCTTATTGTGCAAAACCAGAAAAGTTCTTTCCAGTATTGAACGATTTAGCCCTTCAACCGGGAACTCTGAAGGTCGATCTTATTATTAATATTATAAATTTGCTAAGAGGTTAAAGTTTAGGGTAAGGTTGCACTTGTCACTGGTGGAGGAACTGGATTAGGAAAAGCGATTGCAACAACATTTGCTCACCTCGGAGCAAAAGTTGCGATTGCAGCACGGTGAGCAATCATTTTTCAAACAATGCAAAATATTTCATTTGTTATGTGTTAAAAAACTTTTGAATTAAAGAAACATCGAAATTTCATCAAAATAATCGTTATTCTCTTCGCAAGAAAATTTATCAATTTCAGGCGTTTGGATATTCTCGAGAAAACGGCCGCTGAAATACGTAGAACCACCGGCGGAATTTGTGAGCCATTCCAACTAGATGTCAAGGATCCAACAAAAGTTGCCAAAGTGTTTGATGATATCAAAGCAAAGTAAATTCGCCCAATTATTTTTTTTTTTTGAAATTTAGACGTGGCGTTTCAGATTCAACGCGACTCCAGACATTCTTATAAATAATGCAGCCGGAAATTTCATTATGGCTACTGAGCGATTGTCGCCAAACGCTTACGGAACCATCATTGACATTGTTTTGAAAGGGACATTACATGTGACCACCGAATTGGTACGCAGATGCATCAAGGAAGGAAAGGGTGCTTCTGTGTTGAGTATTAGCACTGCATACGCGGGGTTCGTAAATTCTATTGTAGTTCTTTTGTCAAAACTTCACCGTGGTTTTTAGTCATGGTGCTCCATTCGTTGTCCCTTCGGCGGTTTCCAAAAGCGGCGTTGAAACGATGACCAAATCATTGGCTTCAGAATGGGCCAAATATGGCATGAGATTCAATGCAGTCGCGCCAGGACCCATTCAGACGGAGGGAGCGTTTGGAAGATTGTTTGTTTCTGGTGTTGGTGATGCTACTGAGCAGGCAAGCCGAGGGGTGCCTTGTGGAAGAACAGGATCACCAGAAGAGCTCCCCAATCTTGTTGCTTTCATGTCATCGGACTTTATGTCGTAGATGAATGGAGCTGTAAGTTCTCAATTGCGTTGTTTATTTTTAAGAATATTATTTCAGATTATCTATTTTGATGGAGGTCAGCAGCATATGAACCATGGCTCGGGAATGGGCAGTTTTTTGCACGAATGGGACCACAAAAAATGGGAAGAGGCCGAAAATGTGATTCGCGGAAGAACCGGAAAATCAAAATCGAAAATTTGAATAAATAAATAATGTTACACTCAAGTTAACACGAACAACACACTGGAAGATTTGCCCGCAACGCCATGAGCAGTATGATATTGCACATCGCACAGACCATTCGACGAATTGAAACGGCGAACAGAACGAGAGAGTGCGTCGTGGAGTCGAACCAATGGGTTTGCGACTTGTGATCGAACAACATTACCACATTGACACATGGGCAAGGTAGCGACGGAAGAGAGAATGTGTAGAAAAAGACTATCGAGACGAGCGTGACGAGGGAGGCAAGCGAGTTTTAATCGAAACTGTTAAATATGTGAAAAATGTATAAAATGGAAATCAAAGCTAAATGACAATTTTGATTGACAAAATAATTGCAATATTTTTGAAAATCGGAATAACTGAATCAAATTAAAAATCTGAAATATATAGTAATTGTGCAGATGAGATCCTCAAGTTGTGGCTTCATTGGGAATGCTGTAATGCATTTTCCAGACTCTACATGTTAACCATACTACAACCGGAAAAAAAAGAGAATCAATGCGTCTTCGACAGAAGAAAATTTCAATAAAAGATGAAAAACAATAATGGATTGTAGTGGCTTAACATATGGTGTGGTCTCTTTTTTAGATTGATTTTTCAGTGAGGAGACTTTCCGAAAATTTCTGTTAAGAAATTGAGTTGTAGTATTTACTATCTTTGGAAAAGAAAACACATTGATCTGCGAGGGTTAATTATTTGAATTTGAAATGTTAAAATTATAAATTGAAAAAAAAAAATTCAGTCAGTGAGGTTAAAAAAATAGTAGAATACTAATAAAGTAGATCAAAATTGAAAATAAGTTTGAAGTAACAACATAAACAACGTTAGAGCGAAATACATAATTCCATGAAATAGCAAAAATGCTTAATTGTTTGAGAAATTATTATTATGTATAAACTAAACATTTCAAATAATGTCAGGTCATTTAGATCGTACGTTCTAATTGTGTTCTCTCCGTGTTTTGTAGTATTCTTCACCCCTTTTCTGTTGTTTTTCTATTGAGATTTTTCTAAAAAATTAGTTGTTTCTAAAGTATTTTTAGAAATGTCATTCATATGAATACGCGAAGAAACAATATATACTTCCAAATTTGATCCAGTCTCTTATTTGCCTCTGTCTTACTAGATTATTCGTTTTCTACCTAAATGTTTTCAACGACCGAAGTCGGTATTGATTTCAATCTTATTTGTCGAAATTCCTGTTCTTTTGCGGTAACTCAGCGATAAAATCACAACAACAGAAAAAAAGAGGTCGATTTTTGACACGTTTCAAGTTATCGTATCTAGGAATCGAGATCTAGAAAAGGGGGGGGGGCGGTCGGATTGCAAAAACCAAGGAGGACTATCTAAATCAGTTTTCATTTGCTGGTCAGGTCAATAAAGCGAAATTATTTTTGCCAGAAAATGCCGTCTGATGGAGTAAGTAAATTCAACTCTTTCGTTCAACAATAACACTATTTAAGAGGGAATGCGTCTCCATTCATATTGGTCAAGCTGGATCTCAAATCGGTAATGCGTGCTGGGAATTGTATTGTATGGAACACGATCTTGATGAAGCCGGATTTTTGAAAAACGAAGAATCCACCAAGGCGCAATCACTTCAAGCGTTCTTTTCGGAGTCGAGCAATGGAAAACACGTGCCACGTGCGATTTACGTTGATCTTGAGCCAACTGTTTTGGGTAACTCTAAAAATAACCAAAAATTCTTCATTTCGGTGTATTCAGATGAAATTCGCAATGGTGTCTATGGCAATTTATTTCATCCAGATCAGATAATCAACGGAAAAGAAGACGCTGCCAATAATTATGCTCGTGGTCACTACACCATTGGAAAGGAGTTAATTGATGTTGTTCTTGATAGAATTCGCAAACAAGTCATCAATTTTATAATAGTTTCAATGCAACCCAATTTTCTATTTAGACTGAGAATTGCGAGGGACTTCAGGGATTCTTGGTATTCCATTCTTTCGGTGGAGGTACTGGATCAGGATTCAGCTCCTTACTTATGGAACGATTATCGGTTGAATACGGAAAGAAGAGCAAGTTGGAATTTAGGTAGCAGCACCTTAATAACTTTAAGCATATACTGAAATATTGCTGCAGTGTCTATCCAGCACCGCAAGTTTCAACATCAGTTGTGGAGCCGTACAATTCTATTCTGACTACTCATACCACGTTGGAACTTTCTGATTGTTCTTTCATGGTTGATAATGAAGCGATCTACGAACTCTGCAGACAAAAACTTCATGTAGAGGTATTCTATTTTTAAGTTTTACAAATGATAGCAATTATTTTACATTGTAGAGACCATCATATTCAAATTTGAACCGTCTAATTGCTCAAGTGGTTTCTTCAATTACTGCTTCCTTGCGATTTGACGGAGCATTAAATGTCGATTTGAACGAGTTTCAGGTACTTATAAAGAAACTATAATAGTAATATGCAGATTTCACCAAAAAAAAACTCAAAATACTAGCAAAAAGTTCTTAAAAATACTATATAAATTGTAGAAAAATATTTCTTGAAACTTGATTCCTTTGTTTCAAAAATCATGCGTTTTAACCATAACGATTTTAGTTTTTTATCCAAGTTTTTCTTTTACGAATGTTTATTTTAATGTGATTAAGGGTAGATATAAAATTTTTATGATTCCCGTACTGTACGATTCAAGAAGCCTGTACGTGTGGGAAGGGGGTTTCGGGGTTTTTTTCTGCAATCTGTATAGTGATTTTAGGAGAATTTTTTAAGCCGATTTTTGAGTTTTATTTTGCGATATGTACCATGAGTACCATGAGTTTGTAATCATAAATATCAGACAAATTTGGTGCCATATCCCCGCATTCATTTTCCTCTTGCAACTTATGCACCAGTGATTTCTGCGGATCGCGTAAGTCGTGAGAATAATCGAATTTGGCCAACATAGTTTTTTATCCAGGCGCATCATGAACCATTATCTGTTCAAGATATTACTCATATGTGCTTCGAGAAGACCAACCAAATGGTGAAATGCGATCCGAGCGCTGGAAAATACATGGTTTTCCAATTTTCCTTTTTTTCTGAACAAATTCTTTATAGGCAGTTTGCTTGTTATACCGCGGAGATGTTGTACCAAAGGATGTTAACGCCGCTATTTCATCGGTCAAAGCAAAACGCGGAATCAATTTTGTCGATTGGTGCCCAACGGGTTTCAAAGTTGGAATTAATTATCAGGCTCCTGTGACCGTCGAAGGAGGGGATTTGGCAATGGTTCACCGCGCGGTGTGCATGCTTTCAAACACGACTGCTATCGCAGAAGCGTGGGCTCGCTTAGACCATAAATTTGACTTGATGTACTCAAAGCGAGCTTTCGTTCATTGGTTCGTCGGCGAAGGTACTACATACACATAATGCTCGTTATGCTAACATTGTATTGATACAGGAATGGAAGAAGGGGAGTTTGTTGAAGCTAGGGATGATTTGGCAGCGCTCGAACGTGACTACGCCGAGGTTTATTCGATTAATAGCCATTTACTTTGACTTGTTTAGGTGAGCAAAGACACCGCGGATTTAGAAGAGGATGAGTATTGAAAGAAGAATAGAATCCTCGAAATAATTGTAATTACTTTTTACATTTTCAAATAACCTATAAGAAAAAATCAATTAAAAATTATTTTATTTTTTTGTGGTGAAAAAATATTAATATCAATAAATATTTGAAATTTCATTTAAAACACTTCCAGATTTTCAGATAGAATTTTGTTTGCTTCATTTCATGAAAAGCTTATTTTTGAATAATTTGTATTTGCACAAAATAGGATACAATCTTTGCATTTGGCAACTGATAACAACTATTCCCATAGGAATCCTAATTGCTATTGTCATTTGCCGTCGATTACGTCGATGAGTTGCGCGTACCAAAATATATGTGCAATACAAGCGACCTTGGTCGGTTTTGTTGTTTGCACTATCCGGTTGACGGACGTTCCGATGAGCAGGGTCCGTTTGACGGCTAATATTTGGGCATACCAATGCCATTATTCGCATCATACTCGTTCTTATCTGAACAGTCGGCAAAAATTCGTTTTTCTAATTTATCAATTTGTGCTACTGATAAATTTGCATACTTTACACGGTCAAGCATAAAAAGGCAACATTAACCATTTGATTTCAACTTTTGAGAGCGATGACTCAGAAAGCATCGCTAGTGTTCAGTATTGTTTGCTTACTAGCCTACGTTTTGGTTATTGATTTTTTGTAGGTTGAACATTTGAACGTTTCTTAATTCAAAACAGACACCTTGAATTATGACAGTATCCAGAATTTGTTAAATTTAAGCAACAAAAAAAAGAAAATCTATTTTTTAAAGATTATTTTTAAAAGCGTTTTCAAAAATTCTTAATGAATTCTTTCAATGCTAATTCTTATTTTATATATTTTATATTAGATATTTTCTACTATATTCCAATTATCTCGCACATCGGGCTCACACATAATTACACGCCTTTTTGCACCATTTTCTATGTCTCTCATGTTCCTACGATCTTTTTCTCTCTCGCTTTCTACAGACGCGCAAGGCGGGAGATTCAAATGTGAAAGGACGCTAGGTCGCATTTTTCGACGCTCTTATCGTCTTTAGTTTGATTAATGTCATTGCAATAATTTTTGTTTCAGGTTAACCAAAAATGGATTACCTAATGGATAAATATTTATTTGATAATTTGCCTTTCGAGGTCGCCCCAGAGACTCGAAAAGATTGGGGACAACGTGCCCTTCATGTTGTTCAGGTAATAGAAATGAATAAATTCAGAATATTGAAAAATGCTTATAAATTATAATTCCAGTTTTTCGATTGGGTCTGCAAATATCAGGATCCCTGGAAAATCTATGAAAATCACACATCTTTTCTCTTTGGCGAGCTTCTATTTTTTCTGTTGGCTGGTTTGACCTTCGCACATGGTTCGTTGAAAAAATATGTTTAGAATAAATTTGTATTTAAAAATTTTAGCATGGCGTCATGGAACTCGTCACGTTCTCGTATGGTTTGGAATATTGATTCACGCTTTGAACGTTGAAAATCTTTGCTACTGGATTCCGGATATGGATAATTTCTGGCAAGCTCAAGGAATTTTGACATTCTTCGGAGCCCGCGCGCCACTCTACATTTTGGTCGGAATTTATCACATGTTTGATTACACTGCTTTCGTTCTTGCTAGCCGGTAAAAATACTTACATTTAATTCGTTTTCAAAACTAATTCAGACTTCATTTGCCATGGTGGGCTTATGGTCCGGCAGTTGGTCTTGGCGCTGTGATGCTTGACATGCCATACGATATAATGGGAATTAAGCTAGTCTGGTGGACATGGCATGATACGGATCCAAATATTTACGATAGGTTTGGAATATGCAAGGAATCACAAAATTATTGAAAAAATATTCAGAATGAACTGGGTTCCATGGAATTCCTACTACTTCCACGCTTCTTTCGCTTGCTCGTTTACCTGGCTCCTTCTCGGATCTCGTCACTATCTTGTTGGAAAGGAATACGACTGGAGAAAGCTACCAAGAGAAATCGCATGCATTTTCATCGCAGGAATGGGAGCATTCTGGCTGGGAACTATTCAATTCGCTTTGCTCTACCATCCAGCTCATGACATTTTCAAAGTAATTTTTGTTATGAGTTTCCACATACAATTAATTTAATTAATTATAGGTCCACTCGGAATACACTACTATTATTTTCCTTGCAATTTATGCGCTGATTGTCATTATTGCTGATCGTCATAACAAGAATCCAAAAGCGAGAACTGGAAATAAATATTGGTTCGACGAGATGGCTTGCGCTATTTCGATCGAATACATCTTTTTCATGATTGCCGTTCTCATTTCTGATCCTTACAATATTGTCAGCGAAGTGGGATATTTTAAAAATCACGGTTATTGAATTTTAAGTTCAGGGTCTTCATCAACCAATTGGGCCGTGCAATGAAACGCAAAAAGTTCAGACTCCAACAGGACTTGTATTGCAGAAGCAGAAATACTTCTGCCCGGAGAACTACGATGAAAAGTATATTGATTTCCATTGCGTTCCAAATGGCGTCCCAAAGCCGGTAACTAGCAAAAATTTATTCCGATTTAAGAGTTTGGTTTTCAGCAAGATGGCCAAATAACACTCGAATGGTATCCGGTGTGTGGAACTGATTATGACAACCGAGCTGAATACGTTTTCCTCATTTGGGGAATCTGCATTCTTTACTCTCTTTTATGGTACCAGATTGCCGCGAGATCAGGAGAAACGCAAGTTGATCCAGTGAAGGTAATTATACTACATACATTATCAGTTAAATATATAAATATTACAGGTATTCCGTAAGAAGACTGTGAAAACCTCGGAGACCCAAGAGCTTTTGACCGAAAACGAATTGACAAAAACTCCAAAAGGACCAAAAACATCGACACCAGTGGAAAGCAAGAAAAAGGTTTAAAAAACGCGGCGTTTTTTTTGTAATTTAATTTGCATAAAAATATTCCAAATATCATTCTACTTCAAATTGGAAATGTGCACGTAGTCTTCCTTCCCTGCACTACTTTAATCAATCTTTACCTTTGTTTTCTTCAGGATGTGACTCCAGAACTAAGTCGTTCGGTTATCGAAAGACTGTTTCCATCCCCTATCCGTTCAAACATCGAGACAACGTTGCCGCGAATCTTCGACCGTACACCAGCTAATATTGTTCACAGTAGCCTTCATTTTCGTGAAGAAATTGTGAGTACTACGATGGAGCGCAGCCAACAGAATGACACCAGAAACACGGAGAAACGTTTGATTCAAGACACTCCAGCTCGAAACCTCAGGAAACGCCCAGTCATTAACTATGCTATAATCACGCGATATTAGAATTGCATTTTTTGGTTTTTCTGTTGTTGCCGTGGGTCATAAAAATTTGTTGAACGTTAATACATACATTTATCAGTACATAAATCGCACAAATAATCGATATCACAGAATGACGAAGTAATCGTTTTGATTCGGCCGCTAATTCGAAGTTGATTCGGTGGACGAGCAGCTGAAGATGTTTCTTATTTTAAAGCGTAATTATAGAAATCACGGCAATGACTATCACATCTATTGCATGCAGATCACAAAATGAATTATAACCGCGTCATTTCCAAGACTTGCTCGGCGCTACTCGAATCTTCGGAATCTGATCTGAGCACGTGGTTGATTGTACATGGAAGATATGGAGAACGATGGTCTTCGATATCTGGCTCATGAAGTACAGTGCGTGGGTCAGCCTCTTCGGGTTTCGCCATCGTGATGGGCGTGTAATGCTGGAATTATTAATAAATAAATATATATATTTTTTTATAAATTAGGAAATTATTAGTTATCAAGTTCAACATTTTGCATATGTGTATGCAGACGGCTGAAATTTGTTCAATTCCACGTTAAAACTCAATTTTTTCAAAAACAACTAAAAAAAACATTTTAAATATTCGAAAGTTTTTAACTGTGAGCATACTTAAAAACTTGATGAAACCCCGCATTTTGAACCCACATTTTTGAATTTTCTTCAAAATTTACTATCTCGGTAAATTTAAAATACATAAATAGAATGAGTTTCCATATTAAAAACTAATTTTAGCTGACTTTTCTTTTTTCAAAGCGAATTGTTATTGCATTTTCGAGCGTGGACCATAGTAGTAGTTTTCGGGCGCTAATTCATATTTCGATTCAAGCAATGGCAAATAGGATATCATACTACAGATTACTTATGAATGACACTAAATAAGAGCTTAGTGCTTTTATTTGAATTGTAATATTTCATTGAATATTGTTTTTACATTTTTTATTCTAAAATTATGATAACTCATATTGCGTTTACTCAACTGTTTGCGTGCTTGTCGTCAAAAATAAATGTTTACTTTTGTCCGCGATTTGTTTGAAATTTGCTATTTTTGTCTGAATAAATTACCTGCACTGGCAATTTGTCTGGCAACTTGCAAAATGGCCATATAACGTATTTTGAAGTCTCTTTGTACCGCATTTTGATGAATGCTTTCTTTTCCTTGTCAACTAGATTATCCGTATTTCTCGAGAGAAACTAAAAATGAAACATCAAAATATTAAAAAAAAAATTTTAAACTCACTTGTAAACTGATCGCTCTTTTGAACAATGATGTCGACGATGATGATCTATTGAGATTTTGCGAACTAGTATGTTTCGAATTGACATGTTCTCTAGCGGAAACAGTTGAGGTTGATGCGACAGGCTCCGGGTCGTTTTGCCACATATTGGTTTGGTGAAACACTCAAATTTGAAAGATCTGCAAATAAAAAAAAATAGTACAATGAGGGAGCCAATAAGAAAAAAAAATATTTCATGGCATCGAATTGAGAAAGAGAGATAGAGTGGGCCGACTAACTGCATCGCTAATGCGATGTTTCAACAATAAAAAAAAAAGAAGGGACGCCATCTAGGGTGGCCAAAATGCGTTTGTTTGAGAGTGCAACGCGGCAGATTTTAAATTAGCTTCATTTCATTCCGAATACGAAGTTTCGTACATATCGCGAGTGAAATATGTATGGGATTGAAGAGAGAGATAGAGAGACACGTTCTGAAATTTGAAACCTCGCAATATTTTCGCTTCATATTTTATCGATGGCGCTCATCGCGGAGCCACGAAAAGCGCATAACCATTAAAATTTTACAATGAAATATTCTCAAGAGAAAGATAGCAGTCGTAAAAAGAAAGAATAACAACGATGGGTTGGTTGTTGTGGATATTGATACAAACATTTTTTTTCTGCGCTATTCGAAAAACAAAATTGTGTAAAATTTTTGAAAATCGATGTTAAACATTCGCCGGTGCAGAATGGAAAGAAGAGAATGAAAGATAAATAGAACTGATATGTTGCCTCATGAGGTGAAATAGAGGGGGGATGAAAAAGAGAAACGCCACGTTATTGAATTACAATAGCAAACAATGAAAATGAAAATTTTTCTAGCTGTAAAACCAAGTAAAGCATCAAAGAACTACTGAAAAATTCTTGAAATGCGAAAAATTTATTTTGTTTTCGATCGAATACTATAATATAACTAAAGATGTAAATATGAAAAACCCATTGAGAATGATGATTTGGGTGATAAGGATGACTCACCGTCCTTGATGCGTTCGCTCCTAACTGGTCTATTGTTGTAGTAACAGAAATACAATTAACCTCCAATTATCATATAAATTCTTAGTTTAATATGTAATTATATTCCCAATTGAACGTCTCCTTCAATTAAAATATTAACATATAGTGTGTTTTCCATTTAATTGACACTAGAATTTTCGAAAAGAAAAAATGTAATATAAACTAAAAAATTATTTTTTTTTGTAAATTCTAATGCAATGAATATATATATAAAAATTAAAAAAATGTAGCTCTTTCGAAACATTTCATGTTTAAAAATGAAAATTATTTTAAAAATCATATTTTTTCGAAATGTGCGATAGAGCGCATTTGCGGCACAGCTATTGGAGATATATAAATAGCGACACGTCTCCTTATGTTTTTATTGTATTTCGAGCAAAATTCCTCGTTTTTTTAATTTTAGATGGAACGATTATATCACGACACTAATCAATTGCTGCAAAAGGTTCAAATCGACTTGGGAAGATTGGAAACTTCGCAAAACGAGCAAGACGCTCAAGTAATCGTTCGTTCGATTTATACGGACTTGAAGTTGCTTTGAATTTTCCATTCTACTGTGTGATTTTAATTTTTTAGATCCCTTACCGAAAACTGCACGCGGTTGGATCATTATGTTGCTAAAGAGCCGCCGACTGTTCGACAAATGGTTGAGTTGAAGTGAAAAAAAAACCAATCATCTTTAATTCAGGCCCGAATGAAAGTTGAACAACTAAGAAGCGATGTTCAAAGAGTCGATATAGCAACGACAGGCGTTCATCAAAAAATGACAGCGAAATGGAGAGCCGCTAGTGAAAGACAAGAATTATTGAAGCAGCGGTGAGATTTTGAATAATAAAAAAAACAGTTGCTCAATGCTTATGCATACCTGCTCACTCATATTGCGGGCTTTAAAACAATCTATAACATTCGTTATGCAATAATAATTGTGGATTTTGGTTTTTTTGTTTGTTTATTGATTGAAAGCAATTTGGCAATATAGTGAGAAACGGCATTATATTCGTTTTAATTACTAACTAAAAACTTCAAGCCGATTTTCAATATTTTTCTTTGCAGATTCAAAGCCAATGACACTGCTCTTTCAATTGGCGATCACGAGCTTCAACTAAATGATCGTCTTCAGTCATCTCACCGAAGTGTTAATTTTAATTCAAAAATATTATCATATAGTTATATTTTGCAGCTGGACGATCTCATTAGTCAAGGTTCATCAGTTCTTGAGAATCTACAGTTTCAACACGCTAACTTGAAAGGCGTTCGCAGAAAGATTCTAGATGTCGGCAAAGTGGTGAGTAATTATTTAACAAAAAAGTCATCGCAATATATAAATTGCATTTGATATAGCATCTCTTCGTATATTTTTTTGGTATTCGCATGGATAGATAAAAAAAATTTAATCCAACTATGTTTATGCAACCGGAATCTTTTTCATCGACACTAAAATTGCGTTAGTTGTTTTTGCGTGGGAATGCGTGACGAATTGTCATGGCTACTCAAAAATTTTAAAATATGCGATTTCATGAGAGACTGCCTTTTTTGAAAAGAAACACATTCAGAATAGTCGTATAATATCGTGGAAAAATGGCAGACAATTGAGATTTAAATGGATGGAGAAAAAAATGCAATTATCGCGAATGCATGTGTTCTTATTGTGGAGCAATTCAGCTCAACTGTCGAAGCGTAATTTTTTATTTATTTTCAGCTTGGTCTTTCAACGACGACATTGAAAGTGATCGACCGTCGAATGCAAGAAGACTTGTTCATTTTCATAATCGCCGCAATACTGTTTTGCATCTTCATGTACGTCTTCTACACGTTCTGGAAGAGAACAACCTAATTTGCATTGCTCATATGAACTCTACGGTTATCATCCATCTAGTTTCTGTGATTGATGAGATTCATAATTTATTTTAATTATCGTAATGTATTTGTATACAAAGTTTTCTTCATAAAACGTTTCATAAAGCCATTAAAATTGAAATTTGAAATTCGGTTTTTTCGCCGACACCACCCCCAAAAACCTCGGAAACATTCATGGCCCGTTACACAATCGGAAGTGCAATTCGCGAGCGATTTGTTGGTTTGTACACGTTTAGGCGACGAGAGCATCGAATTCAACATAGAGCACCATACGGTTGCCATAGTGACGGTGGCATTGATTTGAGGCCGTGCGCGGCCAAGCTTCGCCTAATACAGCGGTAGCAGGTGCGGAGCGCGAGAGCTACCCCCCTACACACCCAACAATTATCGAGCATTTCGCTCGAGCCAGACACTACAATTCGACGCATTTGGCGTTTATAACGAACCGCACATTAATTTTCTTTTCTTATAGATGCGAGAGATTGTCCATATCCAAGCTGGCCAATGTGGCAACCAAATCGGCGCCAAGGTGATCCTTATATCCTTTATTCATCGTAATCCGTGCCGTTTTCAGTTTTGGGAGGTTATCTCGGATGAGCATGGAATTGATCCGACCGGAGCTTATAATGGAGATTCCGACCTTCAACTTGAGCGGATTAACGTCTACTACAACGAAGCCAGCGGTAAAATAAATAAATTACACGGGACTTATTTAGTATTTGGTATTTAGGTGGAAAATATGTTCCACGTGCATGCCTTGTCGATTTGGAACCGGGAACTATGGATTCGGTTCGTGCTGGACCATTTGGTCAGCTTTTCCGACCGGACAACCTTGTTTTTGGACAAAGTGGAGCTGGTAACAATTGGGCGAAGGGGCATTACACCGAAGGAGCTGAACTTGTTGACAACGTTCTTGACGTTGTTCGAAAGGAAGCTGAGAGTTGTGACTGCCTTCAGGTACAATTTCATGAATCGAAACCTTGGTTTCAAAGTGTGTTTTTTTTTTGTGCAGGGATTCCAAATGACTCATTCGCTCGGCGGAGGAACTGGATCAGGAATGGGAACTCTTTTGATCTCGAAGATTCGCGAGGAATATCCGGATAGAATCATGATGACTTTCTCTGTTGTACCAAGTCCAAAAGTCTCGGATACCGTTGTCGAACCGTACAACGCAACGCTTTCCGTCCATCAACTAGTTGAGAACACCGACGAGACCTTCTGTATTGACAACGAAGCTCTCTATGATATCTGCTTCCGTACATTGAAGTTAACTACTCCAACATATGGTGACTTGAACCACCTTGTGTCAATGACAATGAGCGGAGTCACGACATGCTTAAGATTCCCTGGACAGGTTTGTTTAAAATTTATAAAATTTTCACATTGGTATTGGCTCTCTTTTAGCTCAATGCTGATTTGCGCAAGCTTGCTGTGAACATGGTGCCGTTTCCACGCCTTCACTTCTTTATGCCTGGATTTGCTCCATTGACTTCACGAGTTAGCCAACAATATAGGTAATCGCCGCAAAGCAGACTCAACTAAATTGAAAAATCAGATCTCTCACGGTTCCGGAATTGACGCAACAAATGTTTGATGCAAAGAACATGATGGCTGCTTGCGACCCACGACATGGGCGCTATTTGACTGTCGCGGCAATGTTCCGTGGAAGAATGAGCATGAAGGAAGTCGATGAGCAAATGCTCAATGTTCAAAATAAGAACTCGTCGTATTTTGTCGAATGGATTCCGAACAATGTCAAGACCGCTGTTTGCGATATTCCGCCAAGAGGTGTCAAAATGGCAGCGACATTTGTTGGAAACTCGACGGCTATTCAAGAATTATTCAAGCGTATTTCCGAACAATTTACTGGTTAGATTCAACGTCAAAAAAAAGTTAAAATATGTTACGTTTGTTGCAGCAATGTTCCGCCGTAAGGCTTTCCTTCATTGGTATACCGGCGAGGGAATGGATGAAATGGAGTTCACTGAAGCTGAAAGCAATATGAATGATCTTGTCTCGGAGTATCAGCAATACCAAGAAGCGACGGTGGATGACGAAGGAGAGTTCGACGAGCACGACCAAGATGTCGAATAATAATTTTATACTACACGTTATCATTCATTTATATGTTTGTTCTGCTAATTTTCATTCAAATATGAAATTTTCTAATAAATCATCCAATCCGTTTTGTAAATTTGGATCACAAATTTATTTTCTTTCAATTTCTGTTACGCTATTGCGGTTTATTTTCCAAATATAATTTATATGGTACACATCAGGAACATCATTTAGTACTTGTAGAATCCTTCGCCGGATTTGCGACCGTTCTTGCCTTCGCTGACCAGTTTGTTAATAGTTGGGCTCGGCTTGAAGGCGGGCTCATCCGGATACTGTTTGTGCCATCCTGAAAATATCATAAAATAGATATTTTATACATTTGTCGTGATTATTACCATCCATGATGAACTTGCAAGTGTCAAGACCGACATAATCGCCTAATTCGAACGGTCCCATTGGGTATCCAGCTCCGAGTTTCATCGCAACATCAATGTCACTCATCGAAGCATCTCCTCGCTCATAAAGGCGGAGAGCTTCAAACATATATGGAACCAAGAGACGGTTAACGATGAATCCTGGGGTGTCTTTGCACGCAACAGTGACCTTTCCGACAGCTTTTCCATAATTGACAAGCTCGTTGAAAGTGGCATCAGATGTTTCCTTGTGACGGATCACCTCAAGAAGCTTCATCACCGGAACTGGGTTGAAGAAGTGAAGTCCGCCAAATCTTGTCTTATCCTTCAGATTCAATCCAATATCTTCCAATCTTAGCGAGGAAGTGTTGGTTGTGATTAAGGCAGAACTGAAAAAAAAAGCAACTCAAATTACTATTTTTAAATCTCCGACACTCACGGTTTGGCGGCAGCCTCAACGTCGGCAAATAGTTTTCGTTTCACATCAATGTTCTCAACGATAGCCTCGATAACCAAATCGGCATCTTTCACTCCTGCTTTCACATCCGTCGAGAGTTGAATACGTGAGAGTACAGAAGAAACAAGTTCATCTTGCGCGTTGACGTCTTCAGCAAACTTCTTCTTCGCCACTCTTTTCAAACTCACTTCAATGCTTTTGTGAGCCTTATTCAAAGCTTCCTGATTGTTATCAACAACCGTAACATTCAGTTTTGCATTAGCCGAGACCTTCAAACAATTTGCGATTCAAAATAAAACTGTGAAATCGAAATCTTGCCTGAGCGATTCCGGAACCCATCAAGCCGGCTCCAATAACGGTGACATTATTGATTTTCGACAGAGTTGCAGAAGTGGAAAGTCCACGAACGGCAGCGGTGCATGTTGAGCTTAGCATCTGAAAATCGACAAGTTATTTGAAAATAATAATGAAAACGCGCGCGGGCCGTAACATAAAATAAAAAACAGAAGTGAGAGAGACGCGAATGAGAGCGGCAGGACGGGAACGCGGGTAGTAAACACAATGAGTGAACCTTGGACGCTACAACGAACTATCGTTGCAAGATAACAGCCAACGCTGCGACGGCGTCTGTGTCTCCCGCCCGCAATTAGAGTTATCGATTACGCGCAATATGTTTAGATCAAGAAACGAAACGAGCATTGCGACATATATCTACGTGTTGATGTCGAAAATTAATCGTAATCACTGAACTCATATCAACATAACCATAACCAACCTTCATTATCGATTTAAATTGCGGCAACCGAAAGGAAATCGCGGATGTTGGAAAGTTATTTCAACATTTTGCATTGCACTGGCGTATCGAAAATGTTCAACATCCTCTGAAACAAAAGAAAATACAAAAAATTAAAAAAAACGTTTTGTTACTACGACGCTTCTCATTGTACAGCATCATCCATTGTTTAGCATTCAGCGGTCTCGAAAAGAATCATACGTGACCGTTTTCGCATGCAATATTGAAAAACACGGCCATGAAGTGGATGAAAAAATTTCCACTGTTTTATTGTGATTTTTAAACACTTTCACTTCCCCGCTTCATTGGAATAACGCCAAATAAGTTGTTCGTACTTCTCGGTGACGCATTGCTCTAATGGTGGCCAATAATTCACAATCGATCGCCGCGCCTCGTGTTGAGCAGATGTTCTTAAATTCTGAAAATCACTCTTGTTGCCGGGCTCGGCGCGGCGGCGACGTGTTGATTTCTTTTTCGACTTCAATCACACTTTTCCCGATTTATTTTTGCTGCTATAGATATTCATTAAATCGCTGCTTACGAAATTGTATTAATTGTTTTCACTCACTTTGATTCGAAGTAAGCATTATTTTCAAATCACAGAATATCAAAAACATGAATTCATTTCAGATTTTACGAGAGATTTTTGTTCTTTAACGCAATTATTCACGTACATAAATTAGCAGTCTTTTCCGGCTTTTCCGTTTTTTTAATATCGAACCGTATGTTTTTGTGCCGCGACATGAAAGCCAGACGGCAGAGGTAGCGCCACAAGAACGCCCCGACGTACACGTTGGGCTTGAAAAAGAAACGCCAAGGCTCTTTTCTTGCTGCGTCTCTTTTCTTCAGAAATGAAAGAATCGCTTTTCTCTGGAATATTGAACGAAGAATTTGTACATTAGTTTCGCGCAATTCCTTTCGACTTCCTCAAATTTGGTTCCGAAATGTTTTCGTATCATTTTAGGGCTGATACAACATGAGTGAACCGCCTGACAAGGTTGTTGACACCAGTCTTAAAGACTTAAATGACAGCGGTGATGTGGTGAGTTCTAATGCTGGAATATCGTTTTTGAAAATTGAATTTCAGTTAACGGTGCCATTCAAGTTTCCTATCAACACTCGATCAGCTAATACTTATATGTCGAACGTAATTTTCGGGAGTCAAAACAAATAGCAACATACTTCTTTCAGTTCATGCGTACGAAAAAGAAGAAAGTTTCGCGAATCAGTTTCCGGCTTCCTGCAGAAACCGAGTTCCAAAAAAGACTGAAAAGATTGAAAAAAGTTCTGCTCTATTTGCTAACTATTAAAGACGTTGTTTTATCTCAGAGAGCCAAACCGATTGCTGCAATAAATCCGGATGAGCGATTAAGTGCTGAATTCCAAACATTCAATTTGGGCATACATAATGCGGATAGATGCATGACGAATATTTTGGAAGCGACGACAAGAAACGTACGATGAACTTTTTTTCTATTTGAGGGAAATGAGTAGTAACAGAGAGGATGTCTGGTGATTCAGAGATAACGAAAAAAATATTGCAGAAGGGAACGAAAAATAACTATATTTTCTCTTTTTGGAATTTTTTTCAAGAATACATGCAATACTCTCAAAAAAAATCCTTTTTGGCAAGGACGCTAAAATTGAATTCATGTTCGGTTCCCATCGTCGATTAATTTCATCTTTTCTCATATCGGTGCAAAAAACCATTGAATGAGGCTTGCCCGCAGAAGCAATATTGTGCCCTCCAAACATCAATTTATTCGCTATACGATTTTTTTATTGAAAACATTAAAAATCGCTTTTTTTGCAATAATGCGCCGGATAAGATATTATCGAATTTGTGGGAGAAAAATCTCCGTTTCTGTGAGTGTGTGGGAGGATTGTGTTACATCCCATCGCGAGGATTTCAAACTAATTCAGTCTGATCATTTTAAAACAAGCAAGTCATCTCAAAGATACGTGGAATTCTATTACCAAATTTGGGTCATCGTCACTTGATAACCTTCTGCGGAAAAGATAAAATACTACATATTGAAATAGGGAAGTTTCAGAAAATCTTGCAACTTATGTTTGCTCGATGAACGCGAGTATGATGATTTTGAGAATATTCAAAACTCTGTTCATAATTCAATATAGCCGATTATCAAACATCCAGCCAAATCCTTTCTGAAGTCTTGCATCACAGTGGATAAGCAATTAATCCTAAATCTGTTAAAATGACTTATTCGTTTTATATAGAAAATCGAATAGTTAGAGTCGAAAAACTTCTCCAAACACCGTTCTTCTCAGTACCAATTTTGGATCTTTTGTTCTTAGAAGTTTTTCTAGATTGCTGCTAAAATATGAAAAAATGGATTTTTGTTGGGGCCGCACGAAATCCAATTCGATAGGGTGTTTTACGTGTGAGCTGTCTATAATGAGCAACAGTGTTGTTACAGGCGTTGTCACCACGTTTATAGTTTTTCCGCGGTGCATTCATAAACATTATACATATTGTGCAGGTGCAAAGCAAAGCTTTATTAGTTTTCAACGCCTTAATGAAATTGTCCCTGCGCAGCTATGCAAAGTGTAACTATTTATATTTTTCCCACAATCGTAATCTAATAATATTAGGTATAAAATGAAAGTACATGTTTGAGAAAATTGAATCATCTGTTCAATATTTCAAGGTATTGGCAATCTTTAACTCTTCTCGCATCTGCTACTAGTTGATTATAGAGAATGCAAAAAATCAGTTCAAAAATTGCGTTTTTCGAAAGGCCCGTTTTTCTAAATAATGGATTGAATACGGGATTAAAATATCTTGTTTACATACAAACGATGATGTTCGGAGAACTCTCACGTATAGTCTGCACCCTTGGGAGATTTGTTTTCGGCTTCTTTAATTAGTAAAGCTTATCTTAAGAGTCCACACTAATCTATTCATATTGTAACTTCATTCGTTGTTCGTTTAGTGATTTATTTACACTAGGTGTATACTACTTCTGTAAGTCGATTCTAGTCAGATTCGCGTTTCGCTGCATTCCTATTGTCGAATGAGCCAATGTCGTCATTAGTTTCACAAATTGTGCTCATTCACGATGATTCTGTTGTCACGCCGTATGTACATACATATGTTCTAAGTCTCTGCTGTGTGACTTTAACTTCATTTCCCAATTTTATACGCTTTCTGTTGCTCCACGTAGAACATCGAAAATCATCCCCCACTCTCTCTCCCCTCATTCTGGAGGTTGCTCGAAAATATCATCATCATTTTTTTTGGTTGCTTTTTTTCTAGGTGCGAGTGTTGCCCACTTCGGGTAATCGATATCGTGTGATGCTGATAAATGAGCCCATTCCCGCACACAAATAAACAACATCTCCATAGCAACATTAAAATTGTTGTACGGGCATTTGTGTGGCTCCTCTCGCGTCATCAACAACCTAGAACCTAGACTATATGTGGGAGGCCTCGTTCAGAGTCTCTCCAATATTGGGTTTCTAGTGTCAGTGTCCAATCTCACGTATAATAACCTCAGATTTTCATCATTGCTATTAATACAGAGAGTACAAAAACGACATTCCCTCCACCACACAATGTTGCATTAAATTAACCAAATTTTGTCGACGAAAATTTTCTCTCGTTTGAATAGCCAACGCGATGAGCCTTCTCCGAGCCTTTTTTCTTATATGTGTGCATATTTTCGTTTCAACTGCATCACCACGAGCACAGATCAACAAATAAGAAGGTATGGAGGTTCACAAGACACGTTCATAAGAATCGTCGCCCAGAATGAAAGTTGTGCAGCACGCTATATCACTTACATTAAATTTCGTTTGGTGAAACGGACGATATCTTATCTTTTCAATTTATTGCTTATGTCTAGAGAAAAGTGTTTTCAGCGTTAAATAGCGCTTTTGTATTCATGCTGATAGTAATGGACACTGTAGGAAAAATTTTTTATGTGTGAGGTCTCTGCTCATTGAACGCCTACACACTCATTTCATCTCTGCGTTTGCGCTTAATGGCCGTTTGCGAGTGGATGCAATTCTAAATATGTGTTTTCAAACACGCCTCGCGGGCTCAATTCTCGGCATTAATCTCGTAAATTCGCACCTGGCATAGTACTCGCGGCTATCACATCTTCTCATTGCTTTCGCGCTTCGCCCTCTCACATAATCCTCATCAGTTGTTTGCCCTCTTCTGGTTTTTTTTCCATTGATGCGAATGGCACACTTATTTCCGGAAAACGCAAGTTCTGCATCAATGTCGATAATGCGACGCCGGGGCGCTAGTAAATCCATGCGCCTCGCGCGGCCCACGAGAAATGTCTCAAGCCTTCTATGGCGGCTCCGCGCCGGCGCCATCGTTGCTACTGCCTCCGCTGCTGCTGCTCAATTCTCCACATCGTCTGCAATCTCTCGTCCCATTTCAGCGCGGTCGAGCTCATCCCCCCCCCCATTTTTTGCCCTTCTCTCACCACATCCTATTAATTTTAGGCTCCCTTTCTAGAAAATGGAACGCGTCACTCTCTTCCTTAAACCCTCGAATGAATCTCCTCCTCTAGTCCAATTCGTACATATTGCTGTCGGTCAATGCCATGCTCAATTTATGCCCTTTTAAATGCGTGCATTAACTACAGTATGCCTATGTCTTGCAAGATTTTGAATGCGGCGTTGAATCTTTTGCTTAACCCACGTTGATCATGTTCGCGAAACGTGAGATGGAGAAGCCTCATTAGCATAAGCGCTTTTCAGCAACGTCTTAGCACTTGAGAATATTTAATACTGCTTCACACCCACCGAAAATATAATAATCAGCGGCTATATTCAGTTGACACTTTCGACAACGAAATTGCTTCCATTCGAAAATTTTTCAATTATAGAAACGTGTAATCAACATCTGAAATTCTTTAAGAAAACGACAATTGTCCTTAAATTCAATATGAGCGTATTCATATTCACCAATTAATCGATTACGTCGCGCGATTTGAATTTATTGAATATTTCTCTGAATGTAAAGCATTCGAAATCACATTTGCTTATCATGATTTTTATGCGGTACCGTATTTAAAATTAAATAAATTTTTTATTCGATTCGGTAAGTCAACACTAAATTGCATCAGATTTGTTAATGTGTCACGCATTTATGCTTGAGCTCATTTATCTCAATGAGACATTTATTTTTACCGCCGGTGATTACATTTAAACCATCATTTTGTATTGGCTACACTATTTATAATATTTAGATTTAATTAACTATACATTGTTTTTCTTTATTTTTTTTTCTTAAACTGAAAAAAATGAACGTAAACATTTAGGTTTCGACAATTCCGGCAACTCACCAACCATTGACCAAATTTGCATTGCAACTTCCACAGGGTATATCACCGAATATCACTATTCGGGAATTGTTTGAGCTACAACAAAGGGAGGTTAGTTTGAAAATATCTATTTAATTGAAATATTTTTCTTTTTGAATTCTGAAAAAGTTAATTCTGGGGCGCAAGCCTTTGAAGAATTTATAGTTTAAACATTTCAGAAAAACAACCCAAATTTCGAAATAAAAGTGTGTTGTTTCAATTATCACACGAGACCGCTGGAAGTTCTTCGAGAACGACCTGAATGCGGTCTCGATCAGGAAGAATGTTTGCCAAGCACGACGGCAGTTCCGCAGCTCGTGGGCATTGGGGTTTGCTATATTTTAATTAAATGAAATATAAAATTTTTCAAATTAGCTGTTGGACAAGGAATTATTATCTTTAGTGTCGTCGTACAAAAAGAAAAATGTTAGAACAGCAGTGAGAAATGAGGTAAAATGGATTAAAAAAAACTAAATTCTAAAAAAAAATTTCAGCAAATTCACAACCAAGTTTTAAGGCTTGACGTTGATCAGATTGTAACCGAGAATGACGACATCTCTCAAAAAGCACAAATGACAAACAGTGCACCATATTCATGCAAAAATCCTATAAATAGGCATGTGAAAAATAGCGAAACATCTCCGTACGACTGGGAACTGCATCCTCATCATTATAATCGACAATTATCGGGAGTCAAAACAGTCGATGACAATGGAAAGAAATTTGGCAAAATAAAGGAGCAAAAACATTCAAGTCTTCCATCATCACAAATCTTTTATGATCGACAAATGTTAGAACAATTGTGTCAAAAAATAACAACCGAGTTGTTAAAAATCGATGAAGCTCGACAGTTTTTTAATGTTCATCCTAATATTGAGCGTAAGATAAAAGTCTAATATGCTGAAATCATTCTTTTTATTAAGATATTATTATAACACCGGGTCAAGATTCTATGCCAAATGTTAAGTTGGTTGAAAAGAAAATTGGACGATTGACAGCCAATGTCAAACCAAATACTCATATCCGCCAAGAAGTGACTGTAGCGCCGGAAACTCATCATGTCATAAGATTTGATCCGGATTGTAAGTTCTATTTATAGTAGCTTCCAATTTTTTTATTTCATGTTATAGTACTTGTGGATAACGAAGAGCCAGCAGTGGAGCAACCCGTTGAGCAACCCGCTGAGCCACCCGAAGAGCCACCAGAAGAACAACCCGTTGAGCAACCCGAAGAGCAACCAGAGCAGAATGCTGAACTTCCACAACCAAATCAAGAACCCCAGTATGTCGGAATACGGTTTACTGAACCCCTTCTTGTTGATTATCGACAACGATTACTGCAATCATCGATATATGAGTTTGTCGAAAGACCGGAACACATTCGAGATATGCGCGAAGTGCGAAAGTTGGGAGAAGTAATGAACACTCATGAATTTCTACGAAATCTACTAGTTCAACCAGTGAGACCTGGGAGGAAGTTTAAGCCTGAATCGCCATTTTTTGAAACGTGCCAATATGTGGTCACATTTCTTCAACCGCAACCTCGTATTTTTGTCGCGAAAAAAACATTTGGAACACAGTTTTCAACTATATCATCGAGAGGCCACAAAGAAATTACCATGAACGGTTCGACCATTTCTTGCGACAGGGCTGCTGTCACTGTGATGCAATTCATTGATGAAGTCCGACAGAATAACACACTCTTGTGGAGAGCTCTGCTTCTTCAATCGTTTCAATTCATCACTAGCCATATAGAGAAGAAAAAAAGGCAATTCAAGGAGTTATTACAAAGTGATAGACAATTAATCACCATCACTCATTGTTTCTATAAGTACAATCCGGAAGCTATTGCCAAGATGAGAAATGAATGTAGAGTGTTGAGCGGCAATGTGAACAGCTACAATCCGTTCTTGCACTCGAAATTGCCTGAAACTGTGACGCAAATATCGGTCAAATTAGAGAACGTTTCTCCACTGATGAATCAAAGAGTTGAGGAAGTTGCTAAAGGAGATAAATCAAGAAAATGGTGTATCGAGAAAGACTTCATCGACTTACCATCGTCTCTGGAAAGCTGGATAAAGGCTTGCGACAAAAAGAGCCGTGAAGTCGAATCGGACTTTATCGCCAAAAACTATGGCCCATTTAAATCTTCATCAACTTATGAATTTTCATCAACACACTTTTTCACATCTTCAAAGAAAGAAGAAGCCGAAGAATTGACGAGCGCTTTACGAGGAGGCGTTCAAATTTTGCCAAATGTTCAAGTGATTTCGAAAGATATGACCGACACGGAAAGTTTGAATGGTAAATAAATTTCTGAAAAGTCAATTTTCTTAATAAAATATTTGCAGATTCAAAAGTTTTGAATAAAGCCATCGCGCGAATATCACGCATTTCGAGCTGGGACCAATTGACTATGAACTTGGACGATGAGCATAGAAAGAAATTCGAATTAGTTCTGAGCCAATGTATTATCCATTACGCCGCAAAAAATCGTCGCTGTGTCAAACCCTTATTTAATATTTGGGGCAACTCGATCCCTGGATTCAACGGGGTCAGACTCACACAAAATACCATTTTCGATATCCTTCAAATGAGGAGACAACGGCGTCAGCATGCCCAGAAATTGCGAACACTGACACAAGAAGGAATGCCGGACAAATTTCCTTGTCAGAATGTTCGAATGTACCACATGAATGTTGCTTTTGCCGATGGAAATATGAACACGAGCTGTAATGAAAATGTGCCAAGCTATTCGAACCCGGGAATATCTCGATCAGAGCAGAAGGAGACGTGGAGTCGTCTGAAAAAAATGGTTGCTTTCATTTATTTTTTTTAAAGCGATAATTGCTATAATTCAGGCGCAAAATCCTTCGCAAGGTATTCGTTGGATGAGCGGCAGCAAAAGGAACGCACGGCGTTTTAATATGGTTCGAAAAGCCGTTAATCATCCAAAGATCAATTTGAAAATCCACGATATTTATTTTCATCGCTTAAGGAGAATCACAAATTTTAATCAAATTATGATGAAAAACTTCCCGGGACTTGCTTCACTTTTGCTATTCAGCAAAGGAATCGATTTAAAGAGGATACTTAAAATGGTAAGTGAAGCTCATACATCACATTAAAGCTAATTAACATCACTTTAGATATTTCTGGACGACGAAAAAATCAAATCTGATATGAGAAATTTATTAGTGCGCCAATTGCTGTGGAAATTGCAGAACCCAACCAAGTTAACCTCTGGTCCCTTCGAAGCACTACCCAGTTTTGCAGGTACTTATTGTAAACATGCGTCTAATTATTTATTGTTCTTCAGATCCCTTGTTAATTGAGCGAATGATGAACAAGGGCAACAGTATTGAGCAAATTCTTACCAAATTGATTCCTTTGAATCGTATCAAAAATCGATCAACATTTGGAAAGCTTGACAAAGAATTTGTGGGTCAATTACTTGCCATGGAAATGGAAGAACATCCCGAGGAGCTCATTCATGAATATCTTTGCGAGAAGACCGAATTAAAACATGCTCAAGAAATGCCGGATCTTAACAATATTATGAGCGACGATTTTGGAACTCCAAGTTTTAATGATCTTCTCGGTTTCATTGGCACAATAAAAAATTCGGGTGTGGCTCACAGTTCCATGTCGTCACCTGTTGGGGCGCAACTAGAGCGATTGGTAAGAAATGATAATTTTAGTGAAAATAAATCTAAATATTTATAGATGATGGGTAATTCAATGTTAGACGACGTTGAAGAAGCTTTAGAAAATGAAGAAGCTAATGTTGACAACAAAGAATGTTCAGAAAAAGCGGTTGTGCTTCGAGATAAAACCATTTTTCATGGTGTGGTCAACAATGAAGAAGATATTCAAAATGTTGATGGAAACCACGTCGACAATGGCAATCCGCCATTTTTGTTCAATAGACGGAATGTTGTTGATAGCAGGGAAGCCGAAGGTCTCAATGAAAATGGAATCACTTTCACTGACAATCAGCGAAAGGAGATCGCAAATGGAAGCAACACAACAAATGAAGACGTCAATGTACATAATTCTGAGAATGTGGAAGATTTTCCTGAATCGTTTCTTGATTCTGCATTCTTGTCAAGAGATTCACTACCGGTGCGAAAATTTTTTTTTGTATATTAACGAACCGTTTTGATTTCAGATATTGACTCCCGATGATGTTGATTTTTCTCTCGGACATATACCCGAAATTGATATGTCCGAATTCGACAAATTGTCAGATTCCGAAGATGATGATTACGAATTCTTCTATAAGAATCCGACGAACGCTTTGGAAGCGGCAAAGCAAATTAATCAATTTTATGATGCGTTTACATCGTATTTGGCAGTAGCCATTAATTCTGAAACGAGGAATATTTATATAGTTGAACAAATCATCAAGGTTAACTTTTAATTTATTCGGAAATTAAAAAAAAATTAATCTAGGTGGTCGACGCAATTCATTTTGAAAATAACTCTCAACAATATTTGAAGTTTCCAAGCTCATTTGAAGAAGAGCTGAAAAGTATTTCAATTCGAAGGTATCGTGATAAGGTTTCGAAACTAAAACTCCAACGTTTCCATTTTCAGACAGCTTTGCAATGTTTTAGAGAAACGCGTGGAAAAGTTTAAAACAAAGCTTGTTTCGGAAATGTCGAAAAATCGCACATATAAAAAGAAATGCGAGAAATTAAAAGTAGAAAAGATCATGCGATTCCAAGAAGCAGTAGCTGAAGCAAAATTGATGGTTGCGAAGGTTTATAATTGTCTTGATGTTTATATGTTTGTGAATTGACATTTTAGGACATGAATCCCGTCTATCTACGCGAAGACACACTTACACGGGTCACGTTGACGGATAGGTGCTTCATTTCTTATCGTCGCAATAAAGCTCTCATTGACTATATCAAGCTTCGGGCAACGGTAAAAAATCGAATAGACGAAATTGGTTACAAAGTTTTTTTTACAGAAAGGACCAAGGATGAAAAAAGGTTTATGGGATGACTTGCGACGATTGAGCACTGCTACTCCATTATCCTGTAAATATTTATCGCGAAGGAAGCCCAGAATACCCTACATGTTCTCGACGTTTGGATTTGGAAGCAATTTCTGCGAGAAGAGAAAAATGACATTTTCGGGCAATCTGGAAAAATTTGAAAAAAAGAGAGCACGCACATTTCGACGAAGGCAACTACACGAAAAGAATGTGTTGAAGAAGGCGAAGAATGAGCTCTCGAAATTCACTGGAACTCGCTTGATTTTTATGGAAAACGATTCGCTACTCGGAAAAAAGTTTCCCGGATATGACCTATTTGAGAATTATTTCTGCCAACTTCTTCACCAGCTGAATGTGTTTGCTCTTAAAATGATCGACTTTTCGGATCTCGATAAGCTCAATCAACTGTCGAGACAAAATGTAGAAGAGCAACTTGCTGTTAATGCCTGTGGAACTGCAAATGTCGTTGACGTCAATGATGGAAGCGTCTATGTGAAAAATACAAAGGACTTCGCTGCTAATGTGGCAATTGTCGATGGAAATAATGATTGTCAGACTACTAAAAATTTCGAGGAAAAGGGTCATGAGGAATCCATTGTCGTTGATCTCGCTGAAGTCAATGCTGATAATCATTTTGTTGTCGATGAAGACATTGGCGTTGATGCTAAAAGAAAGGATGCTAACACTAACGGCTCTTCTGAATCGAATGGTTTCACTCATGAAGACAGCATTCCAGATGGCAATTTCGAACATGATGCAGGCAATCGCATGAGAAGCTACAATCCCAAAAAATTGAAAGAAGAGCCGTCTACATATGAAGAATTATTAAACGACGAGATTGATTTTGTCACCAATGATGGCGGATCAAACGGAAAAAATCACAATAAAGCGACGAAGCCAGTAAATAAATCATCAGATGGTGATAAAGGTTAATTGATTTTTAATTAGATTTGGAATAATTATGATTTTAGAATGGCGTAGAAGACCAAGAAAGAAGAAGTCTTTTGTGAAAGGAAAGAATAACAAATTAAATGGTATAGAAATAAAAAATTAAACTTTATTGTTTAAGATATACTGAACCTGATATTTCAGAAGGAGCTGAGAAATTAAACGGCCAAGATAAAGATGAAAGAATGGAAAAACCAGAGGAGCCAGAGCAACCAAATGAGCATGCAAAATTTGAAACAGAACAGCCGAATGTGACGATTCCGGGATCTTCAACGCCAAGCCAGCAAATTACGGAAAACCTCGAAAGTACGAATCTAGCGCAGCCAAAGATTTAATTATTTTAATTTTAGAATCAACTGACAACAAAAAAAAGTTTAAGAAAATTGAAAAATGAAAAGAAGAAGAACGATGAAATGAGTAATGATGTTCAAGTTAAAATTGAGGAATTAGACGAGCTTGAATTGAATGTTGATTTCCACACTAACAACGTTGGAATTGTCTTACCTGCCGATCAGGCCGTTCTTCAAGTTGAAGTAGCCAACTTAACGCTCCATCCAAAAAGTGTTGTGAATTGTGTCACCAATGAAGATCACAGTGGTTCTCCAACCTCCTCAAAGTTAGATAATCTCACATCGAGTTCCAAAAAGTCCCGTCGAAGCTCAAAATCAAAACCAAATATTATCGAATTTGATTGCAATGGTAGCAAAATATTATTTTTTTTCATGACATTTATCGAATTTTTTCAGGAACTGAAGTTAGAAAAATTAGAGGCCGTCCGAGAAAATATCCTCCAAGTATTTCTTTTTGTTTCAATAAATTTTCAGTAAATCAATTTCAGATCACAAAAGAGTCTATCCCAGAAAAAAGAAAACATCGCCGAAGGATGTAGAACCAGTGGACAATCTTCCATCAACCTTAACTGCCAACGATATTGAGCCAAATATTGAAGAATTGAGTTCGTTGGATGCTGCATTATCGGCAATCAAACGAAAATCTTCAACACCGTCGGAGTTAGTAGAGCCAGACAGTAAAAAGTAATATATTAATGATACGAATTAATGATCGACGTGTTATTATTTTACAGATTAAAGGAAGGCGATGTGGAACAGGCAACGATGGAAAAAAAAGACACCAAGAAAAGCAAGAATGAAAAAATCGTCAAGATTAATGAGAAGAAGAATGAATTAGTCAATTCAAAAATTTCAAAGAAAATAAATAAGTCGTCGGCAAAATCGCGCGAAAAGAAAGTTTCAAGTCAAATTGAAGTGGAGATTGAGGAACAAGTTGCACCTACCACGTAAAATCGATTTATCGCTTCCACAAAATATGTGGATTATGTATTCAGATCAACTGAAAGTTCCCCGTCGTTAGGAACAAGAGCTGGCCGAAAGACAGTTGAAACTCCATCCAAACAAAATCGTGCATCTCAAAGATCCAAACGCTACTGAAGCAATGACAGTCATATAACCGATTGCTTTTGATTTGGTGAATACATCTCATCCTATTTAGCATTGCTTGAAGGATGCTAACGTAATTTTGTAGGATTGGAGAAATTTCGATTTCAAATTGCAGTTTTCCGTAACATGTCATGTTTTAAATTCTCCTGAAACATATTAGAATACATTGCTTTGCTGCTTCCGATATGAATTCAATGCTATGATTTCTCAAATATCTTATAAACCTAGCTTTAGAACTTCATTCATCTTATTGTAGAATAACCTTTAAACTGGAACTCACTCGGGCTTCCCCATTGAAATCTCTTCCTTTTCAACATGATCTAGTCTCCACCTTTGAAATTCTGTTTGCGAACTCACCAATTCAGAATAGTATATCTTTCGATGTCAACTTGTCTCTTTTATTTTGATTTCAAATAACTATTTTTCTTCCGGTTATAAATATTCTTACCTAGAGTATACTGTTCTTAATACTTTTTATTGTATATTTTCTTAACTACTGAACTCAGGGATTTTGCAATTATTGCCGCTGTGGTTGTGAATCCATTTATCAGAAATCGTTGTTGTCTTTTCATTTGATGATTCTACAGGATTGTACGTTTCCTTCTACTATTAACTCTATATCATCTAATTTCCTGAAATTATCACAATCATTTCTGCTTCAACTTTGTCTATCCAAATGAATTTTCTTGTAAATTCATTTTTTTTTATTTTTTGGCTTAATGGTATCTTGTTTATTATTCTTGAAAAATTCGCTCATCGCAGTTTTGAATGTGAAGTTTTGATTTCAATCATCATATAATTGCCCAGGATCATAATTCTTACCGCAGGTTTGAAATGATTATTCATTCCCATTTTTCATAGTCTTGCTGGAATTCTGAATTCCGGTCATAATTTCTTTTCAATTCTTCCCAATCGTGTGACATATAATTTTGAACTTATCACCTGAAAACATTTCCAATCTGTATTTTGCTTCAACTTGCGTGGTTTTCTTAGTATCCTTTGTAAAACTTCTCGTCCGGTTCTCAGAGATACAAATCTTACAATCTCATTTCAAAGCTTGGGTCGATTCGTTAGTTTTCCTCCGCATTTCCATCAACGAAACCTATTTTTATTTTTCTGTGTATAATATTAAAACAGTATATTAATGGCACACTTTAATTTTTTTCATGAAGAATAATTCAAAGTTTTGATCCTCCAACGAATTTAGCTGTTAGTCTTTCGATTGCGTCCTCCGACGTGAAGCGACGATTGATGTGCTGTAATTTTCAGGTGGGGAAAAGCAAAAACAAAAAAAATACTTTTTCTTCACGAGCATTCACGCCTTCAAGCTTCTCCATCAATGTTTCAGGTCTGAGAAGACGCTTGCCGACTTTCATGGACTAAATATTAGTGTTGAAAAATTCAAAAAAATAACATTCAAACCTCCGAAGAAAGCTTAGAATAGCGCTCGATAATCTTGTTTGTCTCAGATTCGAACTTGTCAGCTGGAATGATTTTTGTGACCAAACCAGCAATGAATGCTTCCTGAGCAGTAAACTTCTCAGCAAACAATGCTAATGAAGCTGCTTTCTGATGTCCCATTGTAGCCACAAACGTAAGACTTGAAGCGGCTTCTGGGCACAGTCCAAGCTCTGAGAATGGGCACAAGAACGTAGCATTGTCGGCTGCAATCACCGCATCCATCAAAGCCAGAGATGTAACCATGATTCCTAGAGCCGGACCATTCACCAAAGCAATTACCGGCTTTTCGAATCTTATGAGTGTGTCAATGAATAGCTTATAGCCATGAGACTTGGAATCGCTGAAATTGGCATAATGGTTTCAACACCTTTTGTTTTTGCCTACTCGAAATGAGAAAGTTGGGCTGGCGAAAAATCACTTCCCGCTGAGAAGAGCTTACATTTTCCTGAAAATTCTCAATAGAAACGCTAAATTTACATTAAATGACCTCCTGTATATACAACAAAGGAAACATCATCATCAGTAGCGGCTTTTTCGAAAATTTCCTTCAATTGAAGAAACATCTAAAATTGAAATTGTTTACTTATTTTTTGCCTATTTATACTTTTAATTAAATTGTACCACTGAAGTAATCGCATTATACTTTTTCGGACGGTTCAGAATTACCCATAGTGCATTTCCACGGCGTTCAGTCAGAATGTCCGGCATTTCTGAAACGATAAAATAACATATTTTGCTAATTTGGAAAGAACGAACACAATTTGTCTCTTATCACAAATCAACACAATTTTTATATACGGGACAAACACGATTGGCTACGTTGTAGCCCTGTTATCAACGGCATTGTAGCCCCTTTATTTTGTATTTTGTGATTTGAGACAATAGAAACCACCCAATAGAAAGTATACAGAATTTCCGTTTAAGAATCTCCCACCCCATTTATATAAACCATTTTATTTATAAGAGAGCAAGAGCAAGTAGCATTATCACTACAGTCACAGTTGCCGAATAATGCATCTATAGACTGTTTCCCAAAAAACGGCTATCTTAGTTATTCAATGATGTCAGACGCATTGCCGTTCGCGTTTGCTACCGTTTATCTTAATTTCACTATTTTTTGAACTTTGTATAAACGTGAAACGTGGTCAAAAAAGTAGTCGCATGGTGTTCGATTGAATTCAGAATTCAGAGGATTCTTAAGAATGCACGAAACGAATTACAACCAGAAATCCTCAAAAAAAATTCAAGAGTCTGTGACACACAAGTTCAAATTTTTAAACAAATTAAAGATGAACAGAGCACGTAATGCAAAATTTTGATGACGTTGTTCCATGTTCATGGAGAAGTGGATTCCAAAAAATAAGAAATGCCAATCTCGCTAGAGAAAGAAGCCTCGGTTCGGTCAGGAAGCAGCCTGGTTTCCCAGTGATGCGCCATAACAACTGCAGTACAGTGTGGAGCGAGGTTCGAAGATTGTGGATCGACTTAATAATAAAATTTTATCTGATTTTTATTTCCGAGGAAATTGATTGTTCATTTCGATGTATTGGTTTTTACTACATATTTGGCGAAGAAAAATGCATGGTCATCAACAAAAATAGTAAAGTTACATTATTATTTGTATACACATTAACTATGAAATATGACAATTCACAAAGATTGTTCTCAAAGATTGTGCAGCCATTTTTACAATTAAATATTTTGCATATCATACGGGTTCATTAAAAAAAAACATTGTCATTGTAACGGAAAACAAATTTCCTTGTTAAATAATTTGAAATTTATTTTTTTCCCACATAAAAATTTATTTCTTCAAAAAATGAGTTAATGATTTGATTGAATTGAATTCTTCGATTTAATGAAGAATTTGTCTGTCTGAGAAATATGAAGCACACCATTCATTTTGATTTTTTTTAATTTTCAACAAAGAAAACCATGTGTTTTATACGTTTGAATATCATTATTAGGTTGAAAAAAAAAACAAAAACAGCTAAACATTTCTTACGTTTTGATATGACAAACGCATAGTATGCTAAAAAACACTGGATAAAAAAATATATTCTGAGCTTTTCTGAATCACATAGATATTACTTTTATAAAAGATTGGCAGGATATTTTTGGGGGTGATGTGCAATGTATGATTGATTGATTAATAATAATTAAATGGTAATATAAAGTATTAAAAACGCATCAGAAAATCTAATCATTGAAATGGAGCAATTCATCACATGGAGTTTTAGGTTATTCAGAAATTTATGTGAACGCATAATATTCACGAAGCAATCAATTTAATGGTTTCGCGATTTATGTTTTGGTGGTGGCGGTGCACCATAAGGAATCATTGGTGTACTAGGTGGAGGTCCCATTGGTGAGACAAATCCTTGTGGACGTTGTCCCGGCGGAACATGAAACATTGGCGGTGGTGGTCCAACCCATCCTGGAGGAATGAATGGTGTCGCTGGCGTTGGGGACGGAGCTTCACCGCGAAGGAATCGAGACAATTCCTGCTCAGTGTCGACAATCATGACAAGGAATGGACTTCCCGGAACATGATCGCCGTGCCATTTGACCTCGACCTAAAAATAAACGTGTGATATTCTTCGTGATGTTAGAATATTACCTGATAGTCTCCTGGCTCTTTTGGCTCATATTTGCAGTGAATCGTTCTCTCATTCTTTTTCTCACGTTGCATCTCAACGTTGAAGGCCCCCTATAATTTTTGTTGAAATCTAATGTTTGAATTATTCTTGATTACCTTTGGTCCTCTGACTCGAACAGTAAGTTGTCCAGCTCCAGCTCCTCTTGTCTCCACAACAAAGTTAGACTTGAAAAGAGAAAGAATTCCGTGCTCCACTCCTGGACCGTAAACTCGGACTTTTGACGGATCTGGTGGGAGTGAGACGTGAACCAAGAATGGACTTCCCTTCACATGCTCATCATTGTATTTGATCACCAGTGTATGTTTTCCGATCTAAATTAATCCAATAAAAAACGTATTGCAAAAAAACCGTGTTTACCTCAGCCGGTCTAACGCAAAGCGTATAAGTTCCATCACGATGATCGTAGAGTTCACAATAAGCTGGCTTGACTGGTCCCATGCAATGAGCGGAAAGTTGTCCTGGTCCAGCACGTCGGGTATCGATGATTGTCTTGATGTTCTCATTGATAATTCCAATCTTCAAGGAGGACGCGTCGACACCGATTAAATCGGCTGGATGAGCCGATGTATCGGCTGTCACATTGAATGGCGATCCGTTGAGGTGTTTGCCATTCCAAAGAATATGAAGTTCATAGGTTCCTCCAGTTAATGGAGTGTACGAGGCCTTGAATACATTGTGTCCAATCTTCTGAATTCTAACTGGGATATCAGCTCTAGTTCCGAGAAGAGTTGCAGTGATGCGGCCCTCTGAAATCAATTTTTTTGTGGTTTAAATGTTTTTTTTTAATGAAACCTTGGATGATATCACTTCCGTCGATGATGAATTCGTTATTTTCCTTCAATGCTGCTCGATGCAGTCCATCACCACGAACCATAATTCGGCCAATATCCTCCTCGCTAGTCGACTTTTCTCTGAATTAATTAATTTCTATGTAAAATTTTTAAATGAATTATGTACCTTCCATGTGCCGACGACAATGGTGCAACAGGCTCACGAACAGCTCTTGATGTTGTTGGCAAGTCTTCAGCAGATGACCTGGCTCGAACGGGGAAGGCGCTCTCAACTGGAAGCTCGTTCCAGTACAAGAAAATTGAGTACCTGTAGAAATGATTTTTAAATATAAAGAAATGACTAATTTTAAGCTTACTTTCCAGCGTGCTTCGGGTTGAATCGAACGCGGTATTTTCCCTCTCCCAAGTCTTCGACAGCCGGGCCATCTGTGACCAAAGTACTGTCAGAGTCCCGAACTTCCGCGCGAAGTTTGCCTTTAAGATATTTAACAAAAATATGGATAATTTTTTTTAAAGCATACCGGGTCCGGCTGCCGTTGCGTCAACATCGAATGAGTTTGAATGTCCAAGACGAAGAAGCAACGAGCCGTCGCGATCCATGTCCAAGTCATTGACAATTACCTTAGTTGTGTCGACAACGAGAACAGTGAATGGGCTTCCTGTAAACAAATTGTTGAGATTTCATAAGTGAATTCAGCATTACCTGATATCGGTTTGTTGTTGAAATCAATTTTGACTTTGTACGCGCCAACTTCCTCGGGATAAAAGGCTACTTCCGAAGTACCATTTGGTCTACGCATGACATTGTGGCGAACTTTTTCGCCGAGTGGATTGGTCACAAGAACCTTCAATCCTCCATGTGATGATTTCGGATCGAATATCAATGAAGCTGGTTCATTAATTTTGATTGACTGGTCAACAGCGGCGCCGTAAACACTCGGTTTTTCTTGCTCGCTGACATTGACCACCTGCGGATATCCTGGCACTTGGAATCCAGCCACCTTCACATTGATTTTGTGGGGTCCGGTGCGATTTGGCAAAAACGTAATACGATCCTCTCCAGCTGGAGACTTTAAGACTTCTGTTTTCAATGGTGCACCATTTGGATCCGTAACTTCGACCTGCAAGTCGCCAGGTCCAGCATTTGTGCGATTAACTGAAATAAAACAATCTGTTGAGCAAAAGTGTTGAGATTGCTCACCATTAATTGTAGTAGCATGACGGAGAACAATATTCTCAGACAATCCACGAACTTCAACCTTCTTCGGATCAACCACCTCACATGTGAATGGTGATCCTGGAACAGCAACATCTCCGAAAGTTACCTCAATTTTGTGGGTTCCTGCAACTTCAAATTGGACAAATGCGAAAGTGATACAATATACCAAGATGTTCTGGAGTGAACTCAACCCAATAGCTGTCATCTTGCTGCTTGTAACATCTGACTGGAAGTGGCCCTCCTTTTGGATCTGAAAATATTTAAAAGTTTGAGCAGGTAGCACAAGTTTGTAAGGTAGCAAAATAACAAAAAAGTTAAAACATGCAGGACTGAGACAATTAGACAGAACAAAAAAGGAAAAGGAAACCGATGAATCTGAAAACCTGGAATGAATGTTATAAAACAATTAGGATGAAGTATCACGTTTATACCTGAAACCATGACATCGAGTTCTCCTCGATTTTGGTCACAGTTTATCACTTCAAATCGGGTGGTTCGCCCTTTCTGAGCTTTTTTCAAGGCATCGCCCGATGCTCGAACTGTTCCCAAATTGCTTATAAACACCTCATAGGGTCCTTCTAGAACAAAAAGGGTATTTAAGCGATTAGGAATAATAACACACCAGAAGAAGACACGCCGTCAATGGAAACGTCAATCCTATGTGGGCCGCTAACAACTGGTGTGAAAGTGCAGAGTAGAAGTCCGGGTTTCACTTTTTTCACTGTCACAGGTACTGATTGATCGCCGTGCGAAACTTCGACGAATGAGCTGTGAGCGCCAGAGTTTGTGTAATCGACACTAAACTGCTGCTCGACTCCTACTGGAGCGCTCTTGAGCCCATGTAGTCTAACCGATGAGGGATCGATAACATGAATCGGGAATGGAGATCCGGGGATCTGTTCTCCAGCTACTGTTATTATCAACTCATGCTCTCCTTCAACTTTTGGCGTCCATCTGGCTGACCAAAGAGTTTCCGATACTTTTTTCATTGTGACCTCATTTTCCTCACGATCGGGCCCTTCAATTATCACTTCCACTTCAGATTCCACACCGGAATCAATAAGGATTTTCAATTCGCTTTGTTCACCGACAATCTCTGCCTTCGGTTCTGATACCTATACAGATATCAGGTCAATATTCTAGATGTCCATCTTCTTTCATACCAATTGAGCTCCATTCAACGGATCAATAACCGACTGAATGCGTCGCTCTCCAATTGGCTGATCATTCACAAATACATCAATTGTGTGTGAACCAATTTCCTTGAATCGGCAAGACACACGAACCCCTCCATCCGGCAAATCTTCCATTTGAACAGGTAACATTCGACCTGACGGTTCACGAATCGTAACCCGTACTTGATTTTTATCATCAGAGTTAACTGAAAATAAATTTCCAGAATCAAAATGTAATCAATTGTTAAAAACTAACCATCAAATGCGTATTTCATTCCAACTAAGCAAGCTTGCGGAAGCGTATGACGCTCCTCTCGGCTTTTTATCATAAACGAATCGATAATCTCATGATCGAGGTAAACTTCAACCAAATGATCACCTTAAAGTTAGATAATTAACAAAAATCATTAAGTATAGTTATTCTTACCTTTCATGTAAGTTGTGAATTCCACGTAAACTGACGTCGAAGATTTTTGAATTTCCACGGGTAAGTGATTTCCATCAGGAGCTTCAGATACACAAAAGACACATTCAAGACAAATAAACCAAAGACATAACATAGACAAATAGAAACATAGAAACCCAAAATTTTTCAAGCAAACCCACATACATTCAAACCAGAAAAATTACTGTGTAACTGACCTGTAATGACCACATTGCAGTCTGTTAATTTGTTGATATTGTCGATTGTGAATCCTTTCTTTTGCCCAACTTGAGCCGAGTGAAGTTCGCGAGCCAATCCACTTTTCTCGACGACCTCTTTGATTTCAGGTGTTTTCTTGAGTGCTGTGGTTTTGCTGACTTCGCGCTCAGATTTTGGTGATTTCGCAAGAGCAGCGGCTCCAATCATGTGTGCCGATTCACCCGCGCCGGCTGGAGCAACTTCACATCGAAGTGGCGAACCTGTCACGCTGCTTCCATTGAACTTGACACTGATAACATGTTCTTTCGGCTCTTGTGGTGTGAAAGACACTTTGAAGCGTGCTTGACCTTCAGCTTGGACAAAATTGGGAACATTGCGATTATCAACTGAAACAATGATCTCCATGTTTCCAGCTCCAGCACGAGCCGCATCGATAACAAATGTAGCTGGTTTTCCAACAACAGCGTGAGTTGGGGGAGTCAACAAGGCTTTTCTGGCGTCATATGCCTTCGCGGTGTAAGGTGATCCCGCAATTGGTTCTCCATTAATCGAAATATCGATTTGATGGTTTCCGACGCATTTTGGTGTATATGTTGCAATGTGAAGGGTCTCATTATCCTTGCTTCTTGTTACATTCACTGGAAGATCGTTGGCTTGTGGGTCGCGTACGCGAACACTTGGAACTGCTTCTTGATCTGAAATTATAAAATTTTAATGAAGAATATGTTTGCAAACATAATACCATCAGTTTGGATTTCAATTTCAGTCTTTTCATCAACAGCGACTCTCTCAAGTCCAGCTCCAACTGCAGTTGCTTGGGTCGAAGACACAAGATGACAAGTAAATGGTGATCCTATAAAGCAAATCAAAAAATATTTATTGTAATTTGTGCGCAACAGATCTACCTGGAACCGGTTCGTTGTTGAATCGAACAGTTATTGAATGATCAATGTTCTCTTTTGGCACAAAACTGATGTCGTATTTGTGCTGTCCCAGTGCATGGGCCATGGATGGAACTCGTCCGTCGCACACAGCAACTTCCAAGTTACCTACGCCAGCTTCAGAAGCATCAACTGAATAGAATAATTAGAGATCGTCACCCCAATGAAAGTGAAACCTGTGAAGTAAACTGGTTTATCCAAAAGTCCCTTGGGAATCGCTCCGACTTTGATTTTTGCGGGATCATAGGCACGGCAAGTGAATGGAGATCCGGTTACCGGTACACCTCCGTATTTCACATCAATTTCATGGTCTCCAACAGTAACAGGAGTGAAATTAATTTGCATGCTTCCTGGTTCAATTTCAACAATTTCAGTTCCAATTTCATTTTTCTTGCTATCTGTAAAAGATTTAGTTTTGTCGGCCCCCTTTTTTTTTAAGAAATATTAGAAGGGTATAGGGAGGGGTGTTAGTCATGCAATTAAAAAAAAATAAATTTTTTTCATGTTTTGCACCCTATACTTTCATTTTAAACCTGAAAAGATATTATTTACTATTGAACATTTTTGTTCTCATTTCATTTGTCTCAACATACCGAGCACACGAATTTCAAGCTGATCATGACCGGAAACGTCTACAACAATTGAAGAAGGTTGTCCCACACGAGAAAGCGATGGAATTTTTGAAACCGAAGTCTTCTGCGGGAATCGGTGGCTCTTATTCTGTAATTAATGCTTTGTCATCACCTTTCTTTTTTTGTGAAATAAATTGACAAAAATCAAATTATAATATCCAAAATTCCAATGAAATTACGCACCTTTTTGTCCTTTTTCAATGTCGCCCGCTCTTCTTTCTCGCGTTTTGCACGCTCTTTTTCCTCTCTTTTCTTTTCTTTTTCTTGTTCCTTCAATTCCTTTTTGCTGAGAGTCGGTGAAGCGACAATGTTCTCCGAAATGGTCTGCTGCTGCTGCAGATTTTGTTGTTGTAGTGGCTCAACAATGTTGACTTCGAATGGAGAATCTGGAATACATTTATTTGAAATTCGAATAGAATGTTGTTATAGATTACTTTTCAGAACCTCCTTGTTGAAAGTGATATTAACTGTATGAGGTCCTTTGGTGGCTGGAGTAAATGTGACCAAGAATTTGGCCGACCCGCTTTCAAGTTGAGCAACATGAGATGGAATAATGACTCCGTCGGCGTCTTTTATTGCCATCTCAAGATTACCGAATCCAGCACGTCCAGCGTCAACGGTGAATTCAACAGTGTCGTTCAAATGAGACAATGATGGGATTTCTCCAACAATAATCTCGGAAGCATCGTAAACTCGAACGGCAAATGGTGACAATGGATGTTGGATTTCATTGACGTAGGCAAAGATCTAAAAAATTATTCTTTAATAAGCATTCTGAAACGTTTTCTATAACCTTGTGAGTTCCGACGTCAGTTGGTTTGAAGGAAATCTCATATTTGCTGCTGCTTTTCTTAACTTTTGTTTCGATTTCAGCTGCTGCACCATTTGGTGTGGCGCCAAGGCCCTTGTTTGCGGGAGCTTCAATACATTATATTTTAATGTTTTTCTTTTCATACTTACGAAGAACAACAACCCGAAGTTTGTCATCTTTGCCGAGTTTAAGCCCTTCCAATTTGACTTCAACTTCTTTTCCACGTCGAATTACATCATGTTTGCAGCTGAATTTCGACTTTCCAAAATCAAATGGTTTCCCGTCTTTCTTGAATTTGGCAGACAGTTTGGGCGTGGTAGCGGGAGTTGAGCGAGTTGATGGAGCTGGAGATTGAGCAAGCTCCTCAGACGGTCGCAAAACTTCTTCTGGCGGTTTCGCGGCTTCAACGACGTCATCGCGAATTGCCTCCGTGATAGGCTCTTGAATTTCAATAGATGGGCTGAAAATTTTAGTTTCAATTTTAGTTGTTCCTTTTCATTCATAATGTGACTTACTCATTCTTCTTCGTGAGCCCGTGTTTGGCAAAAATTTTTTCATCCTCGCTGCGAACTCTCAAATATTCTTGGGTGCGCTTCGAAAGATCGGCTTCACTGATTGCCGGTTCTGGTCGATGGATTCTACTATCGGTACTGTCCTCATTTTTCGAGTGAATGTAACTAGATTCACGAATTTCCGTTTTAACTGGCTCTGTTATATTATTAGCTCTTTTATCATCGTCATGTTTTGAGCGAATGTAGTCTTGTTGGCGTTGAGCGATTTTGTCTTCTGTCACAGCAACATAAAGAATTCTGGCGTAGTCAGGATTGCTATCAAGTGTTCCATAATTATCAACTTGTGGCTTCGATTTCAACGACACTTCTGGCTCTTCCGGATGCCTGAAACAATCTGATTATTTTGACTTTCGCTCGTCCTTATAATACCGTTTCAATGTTTCTTGTGGTGGCAAATCATAGATGGATTCCTTTTCCTCAGTCCGATGCAGTTTATGTGGTTGCGCATCTTCGAATGTTTTTTCTGATTGAGTTCGCGTGAATTGGTCCCTTTGATGCGAGTGAACATCATTAAGGCCATCATCAGAGGCCGTTTCCAAGTGTCCTTCAGGAGTTACAACACGTCGTGGCACTTCTGGCTTTCTGTAATGATGCTACTAAACGACGTCAAGTTTAATTGCCTTCATACCTATCAATATTTTCATATTCGGTAGTAGTCGTAGTTCTCGTTGTGGTGACTTCAGTGTAAACCGGTTCATGACCTTTGTAATTTGCAGATACTCGTCCTTCAATCTTTGGAACCTTATCATCCACATTTTGCTTTGCATGCAGTTCGGGCTTTGGCTCATATCGATCATAAACTTCCGAATAATCGGGGGATGACGATTTCTGAAGGGTTGACTGGATTCCCATTCCATGCGATCTTCTTTCAATCGTGTCACCGAAATAGCGTTTCTCCGGTGTTTCGCGATCTCCACCATATTGGGCGACAGTGAAACCAACTCTTTGACGATCAAGCTCGGCTTGAGCACGACGATATTCTCTTTCTTCCTCGTCCGCAAGTGGATCATGCTTTTCAACATGACGATGACGATCGCTGTCAAATGGAGATTCACCATGAATTGGAGAAAGAGCTGTCTCGCTGATGTGCGAGTTGGCCACGCTAGATGTTCTCGGTGGCGATGGCGATCTGAAGGTTGTTCGTTTCTCGATGAACTCGCGTTCGTATTTTGTAGGAGATGGCGATCGTACAATGCGTTCACCAAACTCTTTCGTCCTACAAAATGAAGTGTGTGGTACATGGTTGCTCAGATTGTTTCTGTTACCTAACATTTCCAAATGTAGGGCCTCTTGGAGGAGATGGCGATCGATGAATGGTTCTAGTATGTGTCTCTGTGATTTGTTGAGAGCGAACTCCTGTTGGTGATGGTGTTCTGCGAATTATAGTCGTGGTTTCACGGATGTTCTGTCGTCTTGAGGGATCGCTTGGTGACAATGTGCGATCAACATCGCTATTACTTCCATAAACTCGATCATAAACTGTTGTCGCACTCCATTCGCGATGCGGTGATTGAGAGAACGCGTTTCTGGTTGATGTCGGCGCATACGACTGCAAAAAAAATGCAATAATTCAAATTCCAAACCATTATTTTTTTTTTTGAAAATTGCATACAGATTTCCATGGTTTTGCAGGACTCCTCGATTCGCGAAGCATTGTTGGGCTTCGCAACATCGTTTCTTCGCTTCGTTGTCTTGCATGCTGTAGGAGTGTCGGCGACGTCGGTGACGCCGGCGACAACGGCGATCTGGAAGTGTGACGAAAAGCTCCAGCGATCGATGACGTTCCACCTATAACCCATCAAATTTCGTTTCACACTGTTTAATCCGTTTCGTTCATAATGAGCATACTAGTGCGAATTACAATCTGCATAAACCTAGCGGGATTAGCGGTGTTGGCAACAAACGCGCATTTTTATTAAAATATGCGACACTCATATTCAAAACCAGTACCGTAATAAATACCGGACATTTTTATTCTTTGTAGTGTATACGAGATAATTTTGAGTAAACGGGTCAAAAGGGAAAGAAAAAATAACTATAATTTTGGTTATTCCATCATTTTTGATGCATTCGCATCGGTAAGAAATATGACCACGGTGGTCTTGTGAAATTTTTTTCAAAACTTTTTTTTTTGATATGTTTACTGTTAAATCAATAGAATTCTGAAAATTTCGAGAATCACTGGTTTTTAAACAGCTGTCCTAAAGAAACTGCCTTAGAACAATGACCAAACATCTGAAAATTCCAGTTTGTCTTTTTACCATTTTAAACGTATTATCATGAATGATGCCCACAATCACTTGAAATTTCGCGGTTGCAATCAGCAAAATTGTTACAGTTAAGAATTTCCAGTTTCTCGATGTGTCAGGGAATGTAAAATTGATGAATATTTACCGCCTGAACCCCCCCCCCCCATTGCCAGTTTCTTTGAATGAAAACAATTTCGAACGGATCGCATCTGTTTTCGAAACATCATCTTTCCGTTTCGGCTATTAGACATTCGTGTTTCGAAAACAATTACTAGAAATTTTCGATTTGAGACGATCTCCCACCCCGTCTTAATAATAGGCGCGACAAATGTTTATCGTAAAAGAGAAAACCGCCGACCTGCCGAAATTGCCGTTGAAACAGCGGTTGGCGTCAAGTTGGCGGAGATTTGTTGACCCACTTGTTTTGGCAAGATTTCCACTTTGATTGGACACCCTAAAACAATACTCCATTTTTCTAATTACCACATGACGAAGCCTGTTTGAAAGTACATATATTTTTCTTCACCGTAACACTTACCGTGCACTTGTTCTCCATTGAATGTCACGTCAATCACATAAGTACCAGGATGCTGCGGAATGAATGTGACAAGACATCTATGAAATTGAGAATAATGGGAGCATAATGCATAATTCGTAATACCTGCCAGCTCCTTGCATTTGAACATTGTTTGGCACTCTTCCCTGATTCACGGATATCTCGAGTTGTCCTTTTCCAGCTTCGACGGCATCAACTGCAGGAATAACGTATAACTGAGAATAATAGCTTGGATGCGATCGCGCGCTTTCCATGGGTAGTCCGGCTCCCTCCTCTTCCGCCATCAAAGACCCCGTTGATATTGGTACAGTGACAGGTAGGGTCGAGACAACAACAACAACAACAACGGCCAATAGTGGTGTTGGCAATTGGTAGTCGTTGTTTGGGGTCGTCGGAATGAAAGCAGGACTTCCACGGTGAAGTAGAGAGAGAAAAGAGGAAAAGAGGTTGGCGCAATCAAAATCGCACAATATGTATGCATGTAAATGTCTGAATCTCTGATTCGCAATACCACTCTCACACACCGTTTTCTACCGTTCTGATTCGGGAAAAAAAAACTCGTTGGATAGGAAACATAGGCAAAAAAAATCGTTTTGCTTCAATTTTCGTTGCGTTTCACAGAATTGAAACATACCGACAAACTGAACTGGCTGATTCGGCACACTTCCACCCAATGGTTCGATGCGCACGTTTTCGGTTGCATAGCCTGAAATGTCGTTAAAGAGGGGAGCTGATGATAACAATTTGTAATTACCAGCAACTGAAAGTGGCGAGCCGTCCACTTTCCGGCCAGCGATCCAAACCGTCAATTGATGTTCACCGACCTGAAAGTTATTAGAAATCAAAAACCAATGTAATGTTAATGTTTTTTATGTTCTCCTTATCATTTCGTGTTTACTCAAAAACATATTATACTGAGTCAAAACGCTATTCTTTTTTTCCTGAAAAACATCCTATTTTTCTAACTATTTGCTAAATCACACAATTTTTTTAGTAAACAATGTTTTTTTTTGTTGTTACTCGCCAACATTTACCTGATCGACGCGATATTCGGCGGTGAACTTTCCAGACGCTCTTGGAATGATGCGAATTGGAATTTCAGTGCCGTCAGGTCCAAAAATTTTTGCCTGAATATCATTGACGTCTAATCCTTCACCGGTGATGTCGAATGTGGCAATTCTATTAACAGGCGCTCGAACTAATCCAGGACCCGAGAGTTCGGAATAATATGAAATAGTTCTAGAAAATGAGGAGAAAATTTGACAGTGCCAAAAAGATTTTCAATGTACTTTTCCATGTCTTTTCGCCTCTCGCCGCGATCTTCAACTGGCAGTTTCCAAGGACTTCCCGACACATGTTCGCCATTAAATCGCATTTCAATTGTATGCGTGATTGACTAAAAAGCATCAACGCAATTTGATGTGTCGATTACGCGCTTTTGTACCTGTGTCGGGGTGAATATTGCCATGTATTGACGGCTGCCAAGTTCTTTGACGCGGCATGGCACCCGTCCGCCGTTGATCATGATTTCAAGGTTGCCTGATCCCGCAGCGGAAGCGTCAACTGCAAACTTGTTTATCAACACTAAAGGAATGTACCAAAAAAATTAGTGGAATATCTTCTGTTGCATTCCCCTATCATCAATTCTATCCGTAAAACGATATCAAATTTTCGCGAATTTTTTTCTTTTCAAACGAATTGACAATAAAAGACAGAAATAAAGCAAAAAATCAGTTCTTAAAATCGGTGCAGTCGATTGAGTCGTTGTGTGCACGACTGCCAATGCGCCGGTTTTTGAAAAAATGAAAGAACACTTGAGATCGAGATGGTTGGTTACAAAAACGACACAAAGGTAAACAAATATTGTATGAGCAAAGGGCTTGAAATCACATGTCGGTATTTCAAATTCACAAAAAAATCAACTGAAAGTAGTTAATTTCCACGAACCGGTTACATTATTATGGATATGAATTATTGGAAAATTCAAACAAAATTGCGTTTTGCTTACTTTTTTGAGGTTATATAATTCTATTCAATCTATCCGCGACTAATTTTACCGCCAAGGTCGATGAAAAAAAAACAACAACAACAAGACAAATTTTTGCTTTTGTTACGGCTATTTCTCTCATTTTTTCTATTACTAAATTGCAAAGAAGGAAACGCACTTTCGAAGGAGTGATCCGCGTTTAGATTGGCCGGTAGAATTCGACGTGGCATATTGCGCACGTGGACGAGATCGGGTGCACCGACATTGCAAAGGAACGGCGAATCAGCGACACTTTGATCCGCCAGCATCACATCCACTATATGCTCGCCTGAAAATTTTTTTTACTATCAAACCATGGTCACGTTTTTAAGTTTTTAATCAGAATCAATAATATTCGCACTATATTTGGTAAACAATAATAAAATTGTCCACATAATTATATAATACTAGGAAACGAGTTTTTGTTTTTAAAACTAACTATATGACTGTCCGACTTGAAATAAAGCAATAAAATACAAATTTCGCCATCTAATAAGAGGATTGAGACGCTATCTCCTGTCACTAGAAAAGAGTTTAAAAAAATAACAATTATCTAATTTTTTTAAAGATTTCTCTGATGATGTCAATATCGAAGGCAGTTTCACATATGGCAAAAGATTGAAAGGGGTATGCGGGCAACAATCAACTAGAGATAAAATGCGCAAGAGACACACCTTATGTAGGGCACGCCCATTCTAACAAAATGAAAAATCTCTACCACCATATCGGTGTGGTCTTCTAGACAGACAACCGAAAAAATATTCAATTCGGTTTGACACATTTTTGAACTCGTCAGCATTTAATTGAGAAAACGTTTTGAGATAGAGATAGACACAGAGGGGCAAAAAATAATGCGAGATAGGTGTACCCAATAATATAAACAATAAGCTCAGTAATCGTTGTTTACCACACATCAAAAAAATTGTTTTTATGTTTACATACATAGCTATGGCTAAAACTATTTGAAAATTATGCTTAATGTGGTTTATCTAGTTTGAATGCCTTACTAATTTTACTCAATGGAATAGCATTGAAACAGTTTGATTGATTCCCAAAATGTCCAAAAATCTCGTAGGAATCCTTTTATTTCTTCTGTTCAAGGACGATTTGGAACAAAACGGCTTTTCGAAAAAAAAAGTCACTCGACACTAATTGCATTCTCAAAGTAAACTCATAAGACATTCTCCACACATTATACAAAAAAAACATTTAAAACAATAGGAAAGGTTCGAAAGATGACTCACCGGGTTCTTTGGGCATCCATTCGATTTGGAATGTAACATCATCGAGTATAACAACCCTGGCCGGAAACTCAGTACCCGATGGGGCTAGAAAAAACAAATATTCCCATTTTTGAACTAAATGCGAACACAAATAACACATTGAAACGTACCACGAAAAAAAAGACTGGACGACGACGATGATAGCAGACGGACAACCCAGCACGGGTTCAAAATTTTATTCTCAAAACTCTCAGAAAGGGTTTTGATTTGAAAATAAATTGTACATATAAAAACTAAATTTTGAAGGGGAATTTTTTGAAGCATGCTGGGTATCACACGATTGTCAATATCACACAGAATTGGGTTAGTACGAATTGAAGCATGCCGGTGTTCAGCGACTTACCTGTCACTGTGGTCCTAATGTCTTTGATATCAGCGCCAACCGCGTGTACCATAAATGTTGCCAATTTGTCAACAGTTGCAGATCTTAGATTCTCGCCGTATACCGATACCGAAGAGGCATCGGCAATGTCAAGGATGAACGGTGAACCTGAATAAACAACTTGCCCCGCGTTATCCCTTTCATTCGATAAGACCTTTAATATCCATTTTGTTAAATACCACGTGGATCTTATATTGTCCCGCTCCGTCTGGTATGAATGCCACTTGATAGACTCTCGAATTACCTTCTTCGATTATTTGATTTGGAACTTCTTTTCCGTGCCGGTAGATTGATACCTATAAAAATGTAATGTTGCGAAAACTAACTATACATAGTAACGTTTTATCGCCTTTTCTTCTCCCACACTTGATTCGATTTTACAATGAAGTATGAACAATATTGCGCATGAATATGCATGGCAAAAAAAACGACGGTGAGAAAAATAAATGAAAAAAGTTGGTGAATACAGACATAAATCAAATTAACATAAGACTACGATAATTCACAAATGAATGTGTTGAATGAGATATGCGATATGATTGGAAAGGACAGATGAAAATCCGTCTCATAAACCGAAAACGGTATATTGGGCCACCAGCGGCCAACGCCCGCCAAATTTCGAGACAGATAGATACTCATTAACATGAGCGCATTTGTGGAGGAGACGGAGAGTGGGTCGACAAATGCCGATCCCGAACACCGATAATACCGATAGCATGACGGATGACGTCTTCGCGCGAAGAAACATTAGAGTTACAAGGACAATAAATATGATCCAACAACGTTCAACCACCTACATTCAATGCTCCATGACCAGCCTGAGTGGTATCAACGGTAAAGCGAAGTTCTTGTCCGACCAAGCCGACGTCAAGACCATAGACATTAACAAGGCAGGCATCAAAAACCTAGAAAACAATGTTGTGGATGATAAAATTTTGATGGATTCGCATTGAACCTGGCAAGCGAATGGACTGCCTTTGATATGTTCTCCATCATAAAGAATGCCAATTCTCCAAAGCCCTGCAAATTCCTCAATTACAATTGTTAATGTGGTGAAGAAAATTGGGCGAATGGTATGAGAATCACTCACCAACTTCATGTGGGGTAAATGTCGCCATGTAGGAGTTGTCGTGTTGGCGCACCGTACACGGATTTATGCTGCCAGTTGGCGATACGGCTTCGACGTAAACGTCTCCAGAAACCGCGTCGCCATGAGCATTGATCTGTAATAGACCATTGAGGTATTTCCCTGACCATGATTCATACCACAACTTCCACAATTGATCCAACCGAGCATGGCTCTGTGAGTCCCGAGAACGAAACAAGGCCAACATCGCTTGATCTTTTAAGTGGCATCTCCTTGAACGCAGAAGCTTCGAGAGTAATTGGGATTGGAGGGGGTGGTGGGATATTAGAAGTCGTACGCGGTGCTTCTTGATCACTTATTTGTATTTGGGTCTGGAAAAAGAGTGTAGAATGAAAAATTAGAAACGAAATGCGAAAAATTGGAAATGCGATTCAAAGTAGACAATATCATGATAAAAAAATTGCGATTTGGTTTTTAGTTTCTGAACTATTAGATGACGCGACGTTATTTGAGCACTTGCGAAAACGTCAAAAATATTACATTCTTTTCTTTCATTGAATAAGGTGTACCCAAAACGGAACAACGGGCCACGCGTAGTAGTTCTACAATAGTGTGACTCACAACTATACGGTCATTTTTGTATTTTGAGAAGGATGAATCGATTTTTTGCCTTTTATTTATTTTTTTGCCAATTCAAAAAAGTGTGAAATTTATCATACCGGAAGTTGTTTTTCTTTCTCCCAATCACGCGGATTCGAATTATGTGGAACCGACGGTTGTTGCGATTTGGTCTGCAAGACAGTAAAAGTACTGAACGTGTTACAAGTAGGCATGGGGTGTGAAGTTCTCCACTTTTCAAAAGGCGCTTGATTGATAATAGATCCAATTACGATCACTAAATGGGAAACTATTCAACAGTTTCCAAACGTATTCAGTGAGAGAAGACAGAAAAAAAATGCAATATGGTCGCAATAACTTGGCGAAGCGATGCCCATGCATTGACACTTCTCTGATGGTGAAAATTTATTGTTTTTCACTCTGCTAGGAGATAGTCAGTTTCGATTTTGTTTCGGGGCTATTTGTTGTCGTCCAAATAGAGAGATTGGGAATTTTCGAATTCATGTGGGTCAATTACCTGCGCGATATGATTCACGTGTTGCGCTTCAAGCTGTTTAATGATATGTAGTCTTCTCTGCGCGAACGATTGGTGCGAGATGTCGACCTGAAACGCTCAATAGTTATTTTAGAATGATCGCCCTTCATAAAAAGTCAGGCAAGCACCATTTTTTTTACGATCGTATTACTACAAGTCTCTTCGTTTGTTTCGTGTCTGATAAACATTCAACCGTATCAAGTGATATGAATCGATCTATCAACAACGCGAAGAATGAGAGAAATGACATACCTCCGAATCCGGCGGATTTGGCGATTGTTGTTGGGCTGGAGGCGCCGACGGCGAGCGATTCTCCGGAAATGCGGTCGATGCGGCTCGTGAAGTGCTACGCGTTTCTTGCTGCGTGTGCACGTGAAGTGTGATGGGACTCGCTGGAAGCTCAGCCCCTTGGCAGTAGATGCGGATCTGGAAGATTTGATAAATTAAATAAACGAAACTGACAGCTGACTCAAAATCAAATAAAGTTTCAATGTTTTTTAGGAACACATTTGTCAAATGTATAGTTAATCTTCCAACACAGTTCGAAAAAATTTTTGAGGTTTTGAGAGAAACGAGTAGTTTTTCTTTTAACAAATAATGGGTAACATTTCAAAAACCATATTACATAATTAAGCTACTTTCCAAAATTCATATTTATCAAATATATGCTTATTCAATTTCAATTATTCGAATTCCTATGAATTACTATAATCTGAATACACATCGAAGAGTCATTATAAACAACCTTGCAATATCTACACGCAAAGAACGGGAATGCGCGGGAAATTCAAATTTCATTTTTTCAAAAACATGTGTTCTAAGTCAGAATAAAAACAAGTACGAATTTAAAGTCCAAAAGGATTTAAAGATAATACATTGAATAAATCAATATTTTAGAAAAATATTCAATTTTGGTTATTTTGAAATGTACGTGTTTACGCTGAAAACAATTTACCTAGGACAAATATTTTATTGATTGATTACGTATAGTTCATATTGTTATGAATTTGAAGTGGTTCGTTGAATTGTGTGGTCTAAATAAGTGCAGAACATGAAGGTGTTCGAAAGCGAAATTTCAACTGTTTCGATTTCTAGAATCACTTAAACATGATGATGTTTGAAGTAGTTCAAATTGAGACTGTCCTAAGTTGTTTTAATCCTAGGTATATTTCTAATTCGAATAAAAGTAATGATCAACAGAGCGATTTCTAATTATGTTCGAGCGAACGACAGACAGGTTGGTGAAGGTCGGTGCGCCGGAAATAGGCAATGAACAAAATCGAGTTGAAAACAAAACACAAAAATAAGGAATACGGCAAAAAAGTTTGAAAAATTTTGTTCTCTCATTCCAATTGTTGCAATTTTCAGCAACATTCTCGCCAACACTTTCTGACAGCTAATTGGTAGCAATTGTTGTATCGCATCGGCGATATTCTCACGTTGAACAACGGTGTGCGCAAATGCGTAAAAGTATGAAAGGTCAAGGTATTAATGGATAAAATAGCGCGTGGTGGTGAGAGATGTTCCGAATTGAAACATCTGAATGTCTCCAAATCATAGTAGCACGACCGTTTTTTTTGTCAGTCATCCGACCACATTTGACCGACATATCAATGAGGATTCATACGTATTTGTTCACTAAGAATTTCGTACAAAGAAGATTGGAATGAACCCACATATACAAAAGGACAAATCATAACCACTAACAAGATGATGTGCAAATCCCTTCACTAATCGAATTATAAAAACTAGCGCGTTCGGTTTTTTTTCCCTAATCGCAGAAACGAATGATGAATGTAAAAAATGGTTTGAATAAAAATTTATTTATTCACAGGGTCGTCAGTCTTTTATCTTCAAACAAAATCAATTGAGGCCGAATTTGCCTTAGCGGTTTTGAACAAATAATATGCATCTTGATAGTTACTCATTTGCGATTACTATCTAGGTTTAAACCATGGAAATTTTTTCAAGGCTCTTCAATCGATTTTTTTTTGAAATGTAACGTGGGAATTTGAAATTTAGTTAGGAAAGTATCGTCCATCTATTTGTTTGCCGAGATAAAGTTGTTTTTTCATTAAGACGCGCTTTCTTATGTAGCTCATTATTTTTAATTAAAACGGATTGATGGAAGTGCACATAAATATAAATAAGTTTGAAATATTAACGCCTTGGGATATTATTTTTTTTCAAGCCTACTTCATATTTAGAAATATTTATGCTCATTAACAAATTTCTTTACAAATCTTTTTTTTTTAATCAATGAATCTAAAACATCACTAAATATGATCATAGACTTTTTGTTTTCGTTTTTCGTTTAAACACACATACAATGTCGTCGTGCAATGCAAAACTCATAAATTCGTTTTAATGGAAGAAAAATCACATAAAATTGCTTCTCAAAAAACAAATAATGGTTTATTTTATTAGTCAAATTCACGCTCATTTTTTTTGGAAGAAATTTCGATAATTTTCTGATTTTTCAAAAACATTATATTGTTAATGGAATATAACGAAACTGGAATAATCATTTTCAAATTGGGTCTGTTCTGCCTGAATTTTGGTATATTAACCTGGTATTGGCTAATCGCAAGAATGCTGAAAAGTTTGTTTTTGAATGGTTACTGCAAAACGAACACATATTGGCTAATATGCCAATTATGGCTTGTTTAAAACCTGTTCAATGTAAATAGCCAACTAAAAAAATATAGGCGATTATGGGCGGAGGAGGTAATATCGTGTACAGTTGTAAGCACCTACCTCCACTTTTGTTTTCACTCTGACTTTCATTTCTTACAGAATCCACGAATAACTCTAGTGGAAGTAATCGTTGAACAAGTCGAGTATAACACTAGAATTTCTGGACAATTCAAAGTGTTCCCGCCCAGCCTGGCCGTCTTCGTTTTATTATGTGTGTGTTTTTTTATTCTTATTGCCCAACGCAAAAATCTTGCATTTTATATTGTGTGGTTTTCACACAGTTTGAATAGACGTTTTATCAGGAACATGGCGAATGCCCGACTTGCATTCAATAATCATTGAAGGTTTTCATTTTTTTCCCTTTAAGTTTACCTGATAATATCCAGGGTTCGTCGGAATCAATGATAACACAGCTCCTTGACTAGTGCGACTTTTGCGCAGGCAAATCTCTTCATTTTCAAGAAGCCGATTATTTGGATCGAAAATTCTTATTTCGAGGTCGTCCATTCGGACTTCACTTCCTTCAGCGAAAGCCAGATCCAGATTTACCTGAAAAACAAAAAACATGATTCAATAATATTAAATATCGAAAGGAAGAAAATAGAATTCGGGAGGAATGCAGACTGTCAAATGACCATGAATGGATGGACACAAATTTTCCGACACCCAGTTAATATTTTTAACGACTTTAACGACTATTTGAATTGGTTTTTTCGGAGCGCATTCGTTCGTCTTATTTTTGTTTTTTTTTTTTGCTTGGAGACGTGTAAACAGTAATAAAAATAATACCTGCTGATTTGTGTAGCAATCAGTTATGTTTTCGGATAAACTTGACATTCCTATGGGAATTGAGCAAAGGGCGGCCACCAGAGCCATTGTACCTAAAAAAAAAATATGCATTTCCTCTTGCAATTGTTTACTATACCGAGATGTTCTCCTTGTGAATCAGCAATATCCTCGGGGCCAATTAGAGAACCGATTCCAATTTCAGCAGCCGCATCGAGCGCTAAAATAAAAAATGTGAAAAACGTTTTTTTTTTTCAGAAAACAAACCAATTGCCACGTTGTTTACAAAATCCGAAAAGGTCTCAAATTGCATTCGTTCTAATTCTGGCACACTTCCACCACAAGCTTCAACCAGCAGTGATAATAAATAACCATCACCCCATGAATGCTCCAAGTCTTCTACATTGCAATCGGGAATGAGCTGAAAATATTATGCTTGCAAAAATTGAAATGAAAAAAGAAGGTATGAAAAAATATACCATTTTGACTTTTTGTAGTGTGGCACGATATCCAGGAGCACCTTTTGTGATGAAGTAGGATAAATAAGTAAGGCAAGAAAGCTCGTCGAGATGAGGAGACGATAAATGTTCGGCGGAAATAATGCGCGGGATTTCCAAATAACGCTCGGCTAGTAATAATGCTCGTTCGCAGTTTTCGAATCTTAATTTTAAGACATAATATGATTTAATTAGAAAAGCAAACTTACGCTTGGTTGGGATTAAGAGCTCGCCATTCAGGACATAAGCCAGGTTGGCAATATTCCAAAAGCGCACTCAAAGCACGTCCATCGTTCCAATTGGTACGAAAATTGGTTATTTTCAATTCCGGAAGAGCACTCTAAATTGAAATCAAGAGATGGATATTTAGAATTATTTATTCCTACCTGAATCCATGCCATCACCAGCTTCTTTGCGGGAATTTTCGTTTTACTTGCAATTTGATATCGTTGAACTAAGCACCAAATTAATCCAAGAATTAATTTTTCGTTTCCGTCGACAATATCATGACTCCCTAAAACTAACCGCAATGCATTTGAAATCAAACAATACTTATCGATGCGAAAAAAAAATTTTTTTCATAATTTCCATACCAATATTTACAGTTTTCACACTGTCCTCTCTGAGTGCGTCCAATGCCATTTGCACATTCATAAGCTTTTGAATTTCGGTGGGATTCTGATCGTAAACCTATAAAATCGGTATTTCATTCATCTGATTTTTTTCTTCCGGTCTCTCATTCTCCCACTTTTCCATAGTATCGTCGGCATTGTAGAACTTCAACAAGACGAATGAGGTTGACTCCGTCAGAAAAGTCGCGTTTCAAATCACGTATAATTGGGCCTTGCAGCTGAAAACCGCCATCTTTTGTGTCATATTTTGTCAGTTATGTCAACAAAACACGATGCATAGCATGTTTAGCTAATGGATAATCGCATTGTACATAAATATTCCTTGAAAATTGAGTTGCCGAAATGTGTTTTATTACAAAAATGCGACGACGAGGCTCGGCTGCCTGTATAAGTCAATATCACTAGAAGTTGACAGTTAGCCGAACCGAGTGGTTTGGCAAACACAAATCGGCTCTGATAATGCTGGTGTACGTTTTGGCAAAACAATGCACTTACTCAAAGAATTGGCCGATTTTGTTGAGCACTCTTAAGAATCCCATCTTACCTGCTCATTAACCCAATTTGTAAATGTGTGCAATTGAATATCGATCCATTTTTGGCGGACTTCTTCACCAGACCGACTCATATGGACGGTTTAAAACGTGTTGAAACGATGAAATCGCCAAGTCTGGAATAAATCTGAATAATGATGGTAGTAGGGTTTGATTGAATGGTTACGATGCGCAGAGAATACCCCCGCTGCGATTGTTTGTTGAATGGTTTTACAAGGATACTATAAGTTTAGAATAATGCATCAGTTTTCCGGAAGAATAACATTAAAAATGAAAAACGTATAAGAAAAAAAATGTCCCGCAAACATGTGGTATTGTTTTTCTGGTAAGAAAACAATATTGTTGAGAACATTGCAATATATTGACAAATGTCTCGTTTACATAATTCGATAAGCTAAAAAATGAATTTTTATTGAAAAAATTATTGTAGTTTGATGAAGAAATGAATTATTATAGATGCTTCAAAGAAATAAATTTGGTTAAAGAAATAGGTACCACTGAGTATTAAGATCAAATGTAGATCAAAATTAATTACAAGTTATTTAAGGAGAAAAAATCTTTTATCTATAAGACGCATGAAATGAAATAGTCTCGAAACTACATAAAAGGTATTTTTCAAAAAATCTAGAATTCTTCTAAATGTTTTGAATATTCATATTTTGACAATTTTAAGGATGGGTAACATGATGGGATTTCAATTAATACAGTATTTAATCATTGAGAGGGAAATCAATTTTAAGTGGTAATAAAATAAATAAAGTGATTAAAAAAATCGTCGGGAGGACTTTGAACAGTTTCACAAGAAAATTATTTGAAGAGGTAAGTCGCGAACACACACAAGGGAAAAGAGTCATAGATGGATTATTGAGAGGCCCTGTATATTATGTTTGGCCGTCGGCATAGTAAAATAGCAGGTAAGATTGGGAGAGGTGCGTTTGGTGAGCCCCGTTGTTTCGGACATTGCAAAATGAAAAACGCGAGAATAAGAGAAATCGACAGTTTGGAAGGCTAGATAGATAGGCAAATACGTCGAGAACGGTCCGTTCGGCGGCAAAAGACAGTCCTCAGCGAGGCATCATCATCGGTAGCACAGACGTGCCTGCCGGCTGTGGCCAACACAGCATTGACTGCGCGGAAAAGCCGGCTGGCAAATTTCAATGTCTTTTATTGTCGCGCCGAGCCCGTAGCTCAAACATTGTTGCATGTGCACCGAAATGTTGTGTTTTTGATCAACGCAAATTCCCAGTTAGATGTGCAAATTCCAGGGCATTATTGACATTCGATATTTATTATGTCCACCAATTTCAAATCGCCGAAATCGAAAATGTGTCAAATAATTGATTGATTGCGTTTTTAAATGATGCTTAAAGCCTCGTGGAATAAAACACAAGTTTGGAAAAAAAGAACATATTGAACGTGACAATTGCGAGAGTTGTCAACTCCAACGTTTTGTTTGATCCACCCTACTTATCTCAATCTTGAGCGTAACAATTTACTCACTAAACATACAATAACAACTCGAAATAAGACAAATATAGGTGATTGTAGACCAAAATAAAAACCGCGTGAACGTTCCGGACGATGGTTAGTTTTTCTAAAAATAAATGGAATTTTTGTTTTCAAAGATAAGAAACTTGCCAAACTCAAAATTATGTTAGTGCAAGTAATATTGTTTTGTTATCAATTTAAGTATAGCAATAAATTTCAAATTAGAAATTCAATATTTTTGAAATAATTATTAAAAAGTGAAACTATTATATTTCAAAACTAGTCAAGATGAAATAAAATACATATTTGCGTGGTTTCGCCTCATGCAGAGAACCTTTAAATTCGTGTGATTTTTTAGCCTAAATTGAGCAAGGTGGTTAGATTTGACTTTCTTACTTTTAATTGTAATTTCTAGACAGACAATGAATGTAGAATCATAACTACTTTAAATTACAATTTAACGCTGCTCAATATTTTTAATGAATAAATTGAATCATTTCTTCAACAGTTTTAAAAACAGTAGTTTTTTTTTCTATTTCGAAGTAGCATAAATTTCGTTATTCATTTAATTGTCATGGTCGTTTCAACATTTCATTTTGTAATATGAACTTTAATTCTTTGCAACGGTGACAGAAAAAATTAAACTGTTGCAGAACTAATAATTAACTGCACGTCATTTGATTTCTAATCCATATCTACACATGTTCTTCATTTTCCAATTTGCAAATATAAGGTTCGTTGTCTGAATTTCTTAATAAAACTAATATGGCTATAATTAAAATTAATTGCTGATTAATTAATATATATATATATGTAATAATTTTTTCTACAATTTTTGATTAGTAAATCTAATATGAGAGCCACCACATTGTCATTAAAATGATATCTCAAAATTTTTTGTTCGTAGCAGGAAATATTTCACGTCAGTTCAAATTGTGACACAAATACTTCGATAAAAATTTGACAGATAATTTGGTGTATGCGGAGAAATCGCTCAAAGAACATACATGACGATTCGATTTTCTGTAACTAACAGTTGTTTAATTCAAACAAAAATTGATATTTATGACAAGTTTAAAGCACAGTAATATGAATTGCAATAAATTTATTAAATTTCTATATTGAATGATGTCGAATTCAAATACGCCGTCTAGTTGTTTAGTTGTTGTTGATGTTGACAAATGTGAATAATTAATTGTCGCTGTACCAATAAACTAATTCATGATCCTCTTCTTCATAAGTAATCTTGAAGTCAAATCTTCGGATGACATTGATTTGAGAATCCGCCAACATTTCCATTGCTGAAATATTGATCATTTCGTTTAAAGAAGAATGCCGCGAGAATGACGAAAAAAAACCGGAAGGCTAATCAAATCGAATCAAATTGAATCGATGAATTTTGTGTGTTGTCAAGGGAAATAGGCCGGAGTACTGTAAAACAGAGCCAATAGGGTGTAAGTTTTTTTTTAAATACGTTTAGATTAACGACCAATGATCAATTTACTAAGTTTTCTTTGACATTGAAATAAAATACAAATATTGAGAAGTTAACAACAGACAAAGCCTTCCATTCAAGAATTGAAGTGTTCGACAAACAGGCCGTTTATGGTTATGTCGAGAAAATTCAGTTTTTTCTCATTGTTAAGTTGAATTGAACGTTACAGTGGTTCAATAAGCAAATCAATAATGGCAAAATGGCCGATCACAATTTTGCCAGGATTAAACATAAAAATATGCATGGGCATAGAATGACTAAATGATTAGTCGCGATGGGCTTGAATGAAACCAGCTGTTTTGTTGATTGTCGGCAACAAGCAAACCGGCGGCAAACCAGTGAGCCAACGTGCACTTTTTTGGCAGTGCGTATCAACAAATGCTTGATTAGTTTTGATGAAACCTATCCGGAAAATTTTACGTCACAACAATGACAGCATTGTGTTCAAGGCTGGACGTGTAAACATATGCGTGACAAACTCTCGTATTGATTCAAATGAAAACGCGACGGCAAATGCGAAAAGAACTAACCAATGCTGATAGAGGTCAAAAAGTGACGGATGCGTCTAGAATAATCTGCTTTTAAACCGGCTTTCGATGAATGAATCTATGTTTTTATTACGTCGTCGCATGCCGGTCGAAAAGTTTCACGTGAACTTTTAATTGTCATATGAAATTGAATGGAGGAGTTGAAAGAAGAGAAAGGTCAGAAGTTTAGGAAGTAATCGGCAAAAATGTGAATCACTCAACTAAAATCCTTTTTGACGATAGATATCATAAATTTGTATTTTACATTGTTCTGACATGAAGGGCAAAAAGTTGTCTTCAACCTGTTTTCAAAAACTCTTGTTCTTCAATAAAACTTGCTCTAAAGTATAATGCGAAGAAAATAAAATGATATTTTACAAAATAAAACATAACCACCTAATAAAACTCTTGAGTGTGTTCAACTGAACAAATTTTCAATAAGCAGTATTTTTACTTCTAAACTCTCCAAGGAATGCTAAAATTTTAAAGTGGAAGCGAGGTAAATATTACACACCATCCTTTTAACCTAGTTGCGTTAAGTCACGTTACAATTAAAAGGACGAGGGTTAGGGGAAGGGGGGTCCCAAAAAAATGCTGAATTTTGTATACAGGCTACAACACAAGTTCACACATTTTATGTAAAGAAACTTCGCTTGTGTAAATAGTAATACATTTATTATCTATCGACATGTGAGCTCAATGGCCGATTCTGTCAATTATGTAAAACCAATAATTGACATCGGTCCTTAAGAATGTTGTGAATTTAATCAACGTGCGCTTGGGCGAATGCAATTTACCCTTGACTGACAATTCATTACCATAAATCATTGATGTTCATGTACAAAGCGGCCAGAATCGTGAATCGGATTAATGAACACTGATCTAAAAGGAGAATAAGATAGTCGGTATTCAGCTGTATATTTCGCTTATTGGAAGAGTGCAAATTGTTCTTATTATTAAAGAAAAGTTGCTTAGTAGATGTCGGAAAGTTGCATGACCTCGAAATTCGATTGATAATGACTCGCCTAAAACTATAAAACAGAACAGGCCGTTGAATGTGACCCTTAAAGAAAAAGGATTTTAGTTGAGTGATTCACATTTTTGCCGATTACTTCCTAAACTTCTGACCTTTCTCTTCTTTCAACTCCTCCATTCAATTTCATATGACAATTAAAAGTTCACGTGAAACTTTTCGACCGGCATGCGACGACGTAATAAAAACATAGATTCATTCATCGAAAGCCGGTTTAAAAGCAGATTATTCTAGACGCATCCGTCACTTTTTGACCTCTATCAGCATTGGTTAGTTCTTTTCGCATTTGCCGTCGCGTTTTCATTTGAATCAATACGAGAGTTTGTCACGCATATGTTTACACGTCCAGCCTTGAACACAATGCTGTCATTGTTGTGACGTAAAATTTTCCGGATAGGTTTCATCAAAACTAATCAAGCATTTGTTGATACGCACTGCCAAAAAAGTGCACGTTGGCTCACTGGTTTGCCGCCGGTTTGCTTGTTGCCGACAATCAACAAAACAGCTGGTTTCATTCAAGCCCATCGCGACTAATCATTTAGTCATTCTATGCCCATGCATATTTTTATGTTTAATCCTGGCAAAATTGTGATCGGCCATTTTGCCATTATTGATTTGCTTATTGAACCACTGTAACGTTCAATTCAACTTAACAATGAGAAAAAAACTGAATTTTCTCGACATAACCATAAACGGCCTGTTTGTCGAACACTTCAATTCTTGAATGGAAGGCTTTGTCTGTTGTTAACTTCTCAATATTTGTATTTTATTTCAATGTCAAAGAAAACTTAGTAAATTGATCATTGGTCGTTAATCTAAACGTATTTAAAAAAAAACTTACACCCTATTGGCTCTGTTTTACAGTACTCCGGCCTATTTCCCTTGACAACACACAAAATTCATCGATTCAATTTGATTCGATTTGATTAGCCTTCCGGTTTTTTTTCGTCATTCTCGCGGCATTCTTCTTTAAACGAAATGATCAATATTTCAGCAATGGAAATGTTGGCGGATTCTCAAATCAATGTCATCCGAAGATTTGACTTCAAGATTACTTATGAAGAAGAGGATCATGAATTAGTTTATTGGTACAGCGACAATTAATTATTCACATTTGTCAACATCAACAACAACTAAACAACTAGACGGCGTATTTGAATTCGACATCATTCAATATAGAAATTTAATAAATTTATTGCAATTCATATTACTGTGCTTTAAACTTGTCATAAATATCAATTTTTGTTTGAATTAAACAACTGTTAGTTACAGAAAATCGAATCGTCATGTATGTTCTTTTGAGCGATTTCTCCGCATACACCAAATTATCTGTCAAATTTTTATCGAAGTATTTGTGTCACAATTTGAACTGACGTGAAATATTTCCTGCTACGAACAAAAAATTTTGAGATATCATTTTAATGACAATGTGGTGGCTCTCATATTAGATTTACTAATCAAAAATTGTAGAAAAAATTATTACATATATATATATATTAATTAATCAGCAATTAATTTTAATTATAGCCATATTAGTTTTATTAAGAAATTCAGACAACGAACCTTATATTTGCAAATTGGAAAATGAAGAACATGTGTAGATATGGATTAGAAATCAAATGACGTGCAGTTAATTATTAGTTCTGCAACAGTTTAATTTTTTCTGTCACCGTTGCAAAGAATTAAAGTTCATATTACAAAATGAAATGTTGAAACGACCATGACAATTAAATGAATAACGAAATTTATGCTACTTCGAAATAGAAAAAAAAACTACTGTTTTTAAAACTGTTGAAGAAATGATTCAATTTATTCATTAAAAATATTGAGCAGCGTTAAATTGTAATTTAAAGTAGTTATGATTCTACATTCATTGTCTGTCTAGAAATTACAATTAAAAGTAAGAAAGTCAAATCTAACCACCTTGCTCAATTTAGGCTAAAAAATCACACGAATTTAAAGGTTCTCTGCATGAGGCGAAACCACGCAAATATGTATTTTATTTCATCTTGACTAGTTTTGAAATATAATAGTTTCACTTTTTAATAATTATTTCAAAAATATTGAATTTCTAATTTGAAATTTATTGCTATACTTAAATTGATAACAAAACAATATTACTTGCACTAACATAATTTTGAGTTTGGCAAGTTTCTTATCTTTGAAAACAAAAATTCCATTTATTTTTAGAAAAACTAACCATCGTCCGGAACGTTCACGCGGTTTTTATTTTGGTCTACAATCACCTATATTTGTCTTATTTCGAGTTGTTATTGTATGTTTAGTGAGTAAATTGTTACGCTCAAGATTGAGATAAGTAGGGTGGATCAAACAAAACGTTGGAGTTGACAACTCTCGCAATTGTCACGTTCAATATGTTCTTTTTTCCAAACTTGTGTTTTATTCCACGAGGCTTTAAGCATCATTTAAAAACGCAATCAATCAATTATTTGACACATTTTCGATTTCGGCGATTTGAAATTGGTGGACATAATAAATATCGAATGTCAATAATGCCCTGGAATTTGCACATCTAACTGGGAATTTGCGTTGATCAAAAACACAACATTTCGGTGCACATGCAACAATGTTTGAGCTACGGGCTCGGCGCGACAATAAAAGACATTGAAATTTGCCAGCCGGCTTTTCCGCGCAGTCAATGCTGTGTTGGCCACAGCCGGCAGGCACGTCTGTGCTACCGATGATGATGCCTCGCTGAGGACTGTCTTTTGCCGCCGAACGGACCGTTCTCGACGTATTTGCCTATCTATCTAGCCTTCCAAACTGTCGATTTCTCTTATTCTCGCGTTTTTCATTTTGCAATGTCCGAAACAACGGGGCTCACCAAACGCACCTCTCCCAATCTTACCTGCTATTTTACTATGCCGACGGCCAAACATAATATACAGGGCCTCTCAATAATCCATCTATGACTCTTTTCCCTTGTGTGTGTTCGCGACTTACCTCTTCAAATAATTTTCTTGTGAAACTGTTCAAAGTCCTCCCGACGATTTTTTTAATCACTTTATTTATTTTATTACCACTTAAAATTGATTTCCCTCTCAATGATTAAATACTGTATTAATTGAAATCCCATCATGTTACCCATCCTTAAAATTGTCAAAATATGAATATTCAAAACATTTAGAAGAATTCTAGATTTTTTGAAAAATACCTTTTATGTAGTTTCGAGACTATTTCATTTCATGCGTCTTATAGATAAAAGATTTTTTCTCCTTAAATAACTTGTAATTAATTTTGATCTACATTTGATCTTAATACTCAGTGGTACCTATTTCTTTAACCAAATTTATTTCTTTGAAGCATCTATAATAATTCATTTCTTCATCAAACTACAATAATTTTTTCAATAAAAATTCATTTTTTAGCTTATCGAATTATGTAAACGAGACATTTGTCAATATATTGCAATGTTCTCAACAATATTGTTTTCTTACCAGAAAAACAATACCACATGTTTGCGGGACATTTTTTTTCTTATACGTTTTTCATTTTTAATGTTATTCTTCCGGAAAACTGATGCATTATTCTAAACTTATAGTATCCTTGTAAAACCATTCAACAAACAATCGCAGCGGGGGTATTCTCTGCGCATCGTAACCATTCAATCAAACCCTACTACCGTCATTATTCAGATTTATTCCAGACATGGCGATTTCATCGTTTCAACACGTTTTAAACCGTCCATATGAGTCGGTCTGGTGAAGAAGTCCGCCAAAAATGGATCGATATTCAATTGCACACATTTACAAATTGGGTTAATGAGCAGGTAAGATGGGATTCTTAAGAGTGCTCAACAAAATCGGCCAATTCTTTGAGTAAGTGCATTGTTTTGCCAAAACGTACACCAGCATTATCAGAGCCGATTTGTGTTTGCCAAACCACTCGGTTCGGCTAACTGTCAACTTCTACGAATCTTTTCTGTTACGCCCCCCGCAACATCTTATGACAATTGAAAGCAGATTATTATGAATTCAAGAAAATGTTGTGAGAAGGGAATTCAAAATTTACATGCAAAATTTGAAAAAAATATTTTAAATGGAATATTGACTTACTGGCGCAATCATGAATTGATTGTCGTAGAGCGTTTTCCAGTCGGTCACTTTACAAAAGTCTTCAAAGTTGACAACGCCAAACATTTCGAACGTGTTGGGGTCCATGAGGGATATTTGAATTGAAAATTATGGGAACAAATATCAGCCAATATTATCTGAGATATTTCTTTTATACAGATGCAAATTTGATACATTTGGCAACATTCAAAAGGGGGAGGGGAGGGGGAGGGCGTTAAGCGCGCAATGCGCAATTTGAAATCGGAGCAAACTATACATGATAAAGCGGGCTTCTCTTTGATGGTCTATTGCGTATGGAACCCTATTGTTCAAGATTTAAAATCGCTCTCGTTTTATTCGCCGACAAATGTTCAAATATGGGAAAAAAGCAAAGTTTGTCTGCTTCCAACAGTACGTGTTTTTCACTACTCGCATTATATATTAATCTTCAGAAAGTGAATCCAAAATTCATTTGAAACACATATGTTGTTCCTAAACTTTAAGCTCATATAATGAACTTTAATCCAGTTTTACTCTTTTGATTTTGACGTTGAGAGAAAAATCATGATAACATTTTGAGATTGAAAATTCAAATTTGGTGAAAATGAGCGTGGAATGACCAGCGGCCATCAACACCACCACATGTTCGACTCTTTTGTTGCTCACAAACAAAGGCGAACGAGGTCGAAATCTTCGCTAATCTTTGTAATCTGGGGGATTTAACTCGGAAGCTCCTTAATTATATTCCGTGACTTTATAATTATTTAGATTTTGGTCATTATACTTTAAAAGGCATTTAAAATTTTAAAAATACATTGAGAAAATAAAGATTATATGCTTTCCAGAGAAAACTGCATGACAGACAAGTTGTACCGCCTCCTCGAACATATTGCGAAGTCTGCAAATATTGCAAATACCATGTTGGTATTTAACAAATAATAGTTGCAAACCATTCGATTGATGTCTCCAATGCACACCCATGGCTTAGTCATATCCGCAGAATGAGCCATCTTTGAATGGTCTTTGGTGTAGGAGAATGTTGTAGTCTTTCCAACAGTGATGCTCAATGCATCATTAGCATGATAAGTGAGCTGACACTCTAGAGGGATTTGACTACCACGTCTCCACGATTCAACAACAAGGTCAGTCTTGAGATGCGGCGCGACGAGCTTATCATAAAGATCAGCATTGAACTCTTTAGTTTTTGCGAAATTGGTGAAAGTGTAACCAGCTTTCGTTTGAAGCTCGACTACATTGAATGTTGGCTGTCCTTTCTGGTATTGTCCGGCAATAGCCTGAATTTTTAATTATTTCATTCGATTTAGATTAATATTGACCTTAGCGAGATCTGGGTTTTCAGCGGCCATGTTACTTGGAAGATTAGATGAGTAGATGTTCGGACGGTTGAAGAAGAGTTGGGTTCCTGATATGTTACTTATTTTCATTAATAAGTTTCCATTTCAAATTACCAATTTTCTTGAGCTCCGGATATTTGAATGTCATGCAAAGCATGGTTTGCCCATAATCATGCCCACTAACTGGGTACTCATATTTGGTTGGATTTGGGAATAATGGAACACTATGAACAAGCCAAATTCCACTTGTTCCATCGAAGAAGATAACACCTGAACAAACTTTTTAGAACACAAAAACACTTAAGAGTATATTTACCTTTCGTATGACCGTATATCGTTGAAGTGCTTGGAGCGTCTGAGTAATTAGAAAGTACGCGATTGCTGAGAATTTCCTCAAGTTTCGGCGACTTTGATCCGTATGGCTAAAGTTCAAAAAACGTCTTAATTATCGAAATGGTGCATACCTCATCATTGAACATCACGTGGAAAATTGATTTGTCGCTCTGCTTATCATAATATTGTTGGAGAGTGTGCGCAATCGCCTACAAATCATTCCAGGAGTAAGCGGGTATTTTACTCATGCATTTACTTGATCCTTATCATCCAAAGTTTTCGGCGAAGGAGCCAATGATCCCTTCTTGTTCACATCTAGATAATACCATCCAGTCCCACTCGCCAATCCGGGAACAGATCCATCATCTTTTTCAATCGGCATTTTGTAAACAGCGAACCTAATAATTTTTTGTCAGTTAGTAGTTATTCATATAATTATAGATACCAATCCACGTCATTACCAGATTGATTTTTACAACTAAACGCTGCACTTGCGTGGGCAACGCTGAGCAACAGTAGGATGAGGAGTTGCATGGCGAGTGCTGAAAATTGTAGAGTAGAATGCAAGTTGCAAAAAAGGCGAGAAATGGACAATGTGTTGATTATTTCACCAACGCTGACTATCTTTTTATCAGTTCGACTATTTTATGGAGCAAAAATCACACGTTATCTTGATAATTGATATCTAGCATTTTGATGTTTGCAAGCAGCACTTTCAAAGAAAAATAACAATTTTTTAAAGAAAAAACGAAATAAACGGACAAATACGATGTGACTCATTATGTTTGCCAAAATAACGCCACACATATGGCTATCTAAGGAATACAACACCCCATTTCTTTTTCAACACCTTGGAGCTAAATCTCGGACATTCCATAATTGGTGTTTGTATAACCCAATGTTACACAATGCATCCCAAATGAATAAGTGCGATAAGAAGGAGTTTCTATTTTAGCTGGGAGTCGCACAAACTGGATTAATTGGCGACTCTTTTCGAGGCTCAAGTGGCGCATAGGCGGATTGAAGAAGACTAGCAAATGGAATCGAGTGACGACGAAGCTGATCAAGCACCGGCTCTTCGACATCCTCATTCTCGACGTCATCTTCAGCGTTTTGCGACGTTCCCATCGCAGCATCGTTTTCGTTGCAAGTTTCTGCCGGTGCTTGATCAGCTTCGTCGTCACTCGATTCCATTTGCTAGTCTTCTTCAATCCGCCTATGCGCCACTTGAGCCTCGAAAAGAGTCGCCAATTAATCCAGTTTGTGCGACTCCCAGCTAAAATAGAAACTCCTTCTTATCGCACTTATTCATTTGGGATGCATTGTGTAACATTGGGTTATACAAACACCAATTATGGAATGTCCGAGATTTAGCTCCAAGGTGTTGAAAAAGAAATGGGGTGTTGTATTCCTTAGATAGCCATATGTGTGGCGTTATTTTGGCAAACATAATGAGTCACATCGTATTTGTCCGTTTATTTCGTTTTTTCTTTAAAAAATTGTTATTTTTCTTTGAAAGTGCTGCTTGCAAACATCAAAATGCTAGATATCAATTATCAAGATAACGTGTGATTTTTGCTCCATAAAATAGTCGAACTGATAAAAAGATAGTCAGCGTTGGTGAAATAATCAACACATTGTCCATTTCTCGCCTTTTTTTGCAACTTGCATTCTACTCTACAATTTTCAGCACTCGCCATGCAACTCCTCATCCTACTGTTGCTCAGCGTTGCCCACGCAAGTGCAGCGTTTAGTTGTAAAGATCAATCTGGTAATGACGTGGATTGGTATCTATAATTATATGAATAACTACTAACTGACAAAAAATTATTAGGTTCGCTGTTTACAAAATGCCGATTGAAAAAGATGATGGATCTGTTCCCGGATTGGCGAGTGGGACTGGATGGTATTATCTAGATGTGAACAAGAAGGGATCATTGGCTCCTTCGCCGAAAACTTTGGATGATAAGGATCAAGTAAATGCATGAGTAAAATACCCGCTTACTCCTGGAATGATTTGTAGGCGATTGCGCACACTCTCCAACAATATTATGATAAGCAGAGCGACAAATCAATTTTCCACGTGATGTTCAATGATGAGGTATGCACCATTTCGATAATTAAGACGTTTTTTGAACTTTAGCCATACGGATCAAAGTCGCCGAAACTTGAGGAAATTCTCAGCAATCGCGTACTTTCTAATTACTCAGACGCTCCAAGCACTTCAACGATATACGGTCATACGAAAGGTAAATATACTCTTAAGTGTTTTTGTGTTCTAAAAAGTTTGTTCAGGTGTTATCTTCTTCGATGGAACAAGTGGAATTTGGCTTGTTCATAGTGTTCCATTATTCCCAAATCCAACCAAATATGAGTACCCAGTTAGTGGGCATGATTATGGGCAAACCATGCTTTGCATGACATTCAAATATCCGGAGCTCAAGAAAATTGGTAATTTGAAATGGAAACTTATTAATGAAAATAAGTAACATATCAGGAACCCAACTCTTCTTCAACCGTCCGAACATCTACTCATCTAATCTTCCAAGTAACATGGCCGCTGAAAACCCAGATCTCGCTAAGGTCAATATTAATCTAAATCGAATGAAATAATTAAAAATTCAGGCTATTGCCGGACAATACCAGAAAGGACAGCCAACATTCAATGTAGTCGAGCTTCAAACGAAAGCTGGTTACACTTTCACCAATTTCGCAAAAACTAAAGAGTTCAATGCTGATCTTTATGATAAGCTCGTCGCGCCGCATCTCAAGACTGACCTTGTTGTTGAATCGTGGAGACGTGGTAGTCAAATCCCTCTAGAGTGTCAGCTCACTTATCATGCTAATGATGCATTGAGCATCACTGTTGGAAAGACTACAACATTCTCCTACACCAAAGACCATTCAAAGATGGCTCATTCTGCGGATATGACTAAGCCATGGGTGTGCATTGGAGACATCAATCGAATGGTTTGCAACTATTATTTGTTAAATACCAACATGGTATTTGCAATATTTGCAGACTTCGCAATATGTTCGAGGAGGCGGTACAACTTGTCTGTCATGCAGTTTTCTCTGGAAAGCATATAGCGTTATTACAACTCAAAATAATTGCTAACTTCAAGTCGTGATTAAAGCAATTAAATAAAGTTTCCGAAAACACCAATTTAATTACTTGTAAATTTTGAAAATTTCTGACTCATTGTCCTATTACATTCGCAACAACTCTATATATTGATCTTAACCGCATTACGTTATTCACCGTCTATTTGGAGCATAAATTTAATCTTTTTTGAGCAACTAGCCAACTGGGATCAAATATTTCCAGTAAGTACTAAAGTTTGGAAAAAAGTATTAACAATTGAGTTCAAAGATCAAATAGCGTCTCAAGGCAATAGAGAAAAATTTTTGTAATATGTCGCAACTAGGTTAATTAATTAACATCAAACTAGCCGAGTTTAATTGCCCAATTCAAAACTTGCAAATGTTCAAGCGAGCATTGTCTTATAATTGAATGCTCTTGTCCACCTTCCAGTCTACAATTAACACGCGGCACTTTCCTGAAGGTCTCAAAAATGTTGGAAGAATTTTATCCGCATTTTACCATTTCTCAGGCAAACAATCAAAATATATATAATATTTTTTCAAAAAAATTTTTAAAGAATTCAAAGACATTATAATGCTTAAAACTTATTATTATTATGTAAAACTATCGAAGTCAATCTTTGAAATTTTTTCAGAAAATTTTACCTACACTTCTAAAATTTCATTTAAAAAATCTTTATTTTCTCAATGTATTTTTAAAATTTTAAATGCCTTTTAAAGTATAATGACCAAAATCTAAATAATTATAAAGTCACGGAATATAATTAAGGAGCTTTTGTAATATTTCAGATCAAATTTCCGAGTTAAATCCCCCAGATTACAAAGATTAGCGAAGATTTCGACCTCGTTCGCCTTTGTTTGTGAGCAACAAAAGAGTCGAACATGTGGTGGTGTTGATGGCCGCTGGTCATTCCACGCTCATTTTCACCAAATTTGAATTTTCAATCTCAAAATGTTATCATGATTTTTCTCTCAACGTCAAAATCAAAAGAGTAAAACTGGATTAAAGTTCATTATATGAGCTTAAAGTTTAGGAACAACATATGTGTTTCAAATGAATTTTGGATTCACTTTCTGAAGATTAATATATAATGCGAGTAGTGAAAAACACGTACTGTTGGAAGCAGACAAACTTTGCTTTTTTCCCATATTTGAACTTTTGTCGGCGAATAAAACGAGAGCGATTTTAAATCTTGAACAATAGGGTTCCATACGCAATAGACCATCAAAGAGAAGCCCGCTTTATCATGTATAGTTTGCTCCGATTTCATATTGCGCATTGCGCGCTTAACGCCCTCCCCCTCCCCTCCCCCTTTTGAATGTTGCCAAATGTATCAAATTTGCATCTGTATAAAAGAAATATCTCAGATAATAATGGCTGATATTTGTTCCCATAATTGTCAATTCAAATATCCCTCATGGACCCCAACACGTTCGAAATGTTTGGCGTTGTCAACTTTGAAGACTTTTGTAAAGTGACCGACTGGAAAACGCTCTACGACAATCAATTCATGATTGCGCCAGTAAGTCAATATTCCATTTAAAATATTTTTTTCAAATTTTGCATGTAAATTTTGAATTCCCTTCTCACAACATTTTCTTGAATTCATAATAATCTGCTTTCAATTGTCATAAAATGTTGCGGGGGGCGTAACAGAAAAGATTCGTAAAGTGCGAGAAAATAATCACACGTTTGAGACATATTTGACAACTTCAATTATATTGGTTCTATGTTTTCAAAGTATTCTTCATAAAAAAGAATAAATAACAAAATAATAGTAGAAGAAAAAAATTAAATAATTTTTTATCTATATCTTGACACTATTAAGGCGATGAATATTGGTTTTCCCGAATATTGCATATAACTCATTAGATTTTTGATGGCTTAATAGTTTACAGCCATAGTCGCGCATAGCCCTTTGACAATTATAAAAGCATAGTATTATAGTTGGATTGTTAAAAGGTTGAGTTGTGAAATTTGGGCTTGAATATCGAATACAGTTTTCAATGACAAAATTATGAGACCACCAACGCCTTTAAAGAAAAAAAAATGCAAATAAATGAATAATGAACATTAAAAACGTGGAAAAAATGAAGCATTTAGATTTGAGAAAATTGTTTTTACGACTCACGAATATCCAACGCGTCTGCTCATTAGTTATTATTCACTTTCACTTTCTCTACCGTAATTCAAAATTATTATTAAGTTATTGGCAGCACGTCTACAGACAGGCCTACGAAAACAATAATATTTGTTAGAAAATGCATAATAATGAAATCTGAAACGTAGCAGACTGTGTATGTTGACGACTTTCGGTATATTTGGTGTCTGGAACGATATTTATTTTGATCAAATTCATTTGAGATAAAAAATATCAATATTATTTTGATAATGTTATTCAATATTTTTGTTTTTCCATTCATTTTGCGAATCCTCGCGATACCATGCACGTTAGTTGAGTTTTTCAAGCCACACTTTGAAAATTTAGCTATGAGTGAAGCATTAAATTTTATAGTTAACAATACAAGAGAAATTTTGTTTATTCCCCCCATTTTTTTGTTTCAAATCATTTCATTGTCTTCTTGATGCATTGATAAACAAATTCATCAATAGATTTTTTCCCACTTCCTTCTTCAAAAGTGCAAAAATTCATAGTTTTACGTTCTCTTGTTCTCCTAACGAAATAAATATAACATCTCGAATGGAGCGAGCAAACACTCTTTTTTGCTCAAGCTTTCTTCAATCTGAATTCGAAATAATGACCCTCGGACATTAAACATATATACACATAAATAAAGTGCAAACCAAAGCGCATTAAAAGCATATGCAATTAACAATTAGTATCCTATGTCGTGCCCGCCATTGCATCGTCTGTTTAAGTTTTTGCGTGAGACTTACATTTATTTATTATTTTGGTCTCAATTCAACCTCCACGTTTTGCCAACAAATTGTCGTTTTTTTAATGATTGTCTGCCGCAATTTTAACGTAAACAATTGGAGGCACCGCGAAAATCTGGGAAGGTGCACTTTTAATAGAATTCGGGGTCGCGATGACGGATTCATTTATATTCGGCACCATCGGGCCCAA